CACGCTTGTTTTAGAAAGTCCAGAGCTAAGGCCTTGGATCTCTCCCCATAGAGGAGTGTGTGAGTGTGTTTGTGCACAGAGACCACACACAAACACACACACTCCCAACTCTCTTGAACTTCTTATTATGATGGTCAAATTCACAACTAGGGCAGATCCACTCCATACATTCATAGCACATTCAGTACACATGTGCTTCCCCCTTAGATTACTGGGAACTGTAGTTCCCCCCTTATTGAGCTACAATTCCCAGCATCCACAACAAACTACAGTTCCCAGGATTCTTTGGGGGAAGCCATGTGCATTCAGTGTGTGCTGCGACTCTGCCCTTAGTTTCTTATTTATTTAGAAGGGCACATATCTTGCTCTTCAGCACTATTACACTCAAAAGAGCCTTGCAGGAATATTCTTGCTGCAAGGCCAATCTAATAGGTGTCCTCTGGTTGAGCCTAGCCGTATATGTTTGTTACTATGTATTTTTCTCTTTCTATACTGTAAGCCAGCATCTTAAAAAGCAGAGACATCACCTTGCCAACAAAGGTCCGTATAGTTAAAGCTATGGTTTTCCCAGTAGTGATGTGTGGAAGCGAGAGCTGGACCATAAAGAAGGCTGATGGCCGAAGAATGGATGCTTTTGAATTATGGTGCTGGAGGAGACTCTTGAGAGTCCCATGGACTGCAAGAAGATCAAACCTATTCCTTCTGAAGGGAATCAGCCCAGAGTGCTCACTGGAAGGACAGATCCTGAAGCTGAGGCTCCAAGACTTTGGCCACTCATGAGAAGAGAAGACTCCCTGGAAAAGACCCTGATGTTGGGAAAGATGGAGGGCACAAGGAGAAGGGGACGAGAGGACGAGATGGTTGGACAGTGTTCTCGGAGCTACCAGCATGAGTTTCACCAAACTGCGGGAGGCAGTGGAAGACAGGAGTGCCTGGCGTGCTCTGGTCCAGGGAGCCACGAAGAGGCGGACACGACTAAATGACTAAACAACAACATACTGTAAGCCACCACTGTGATCCTCAGATGAAGGGCAGTAATGGATTTTAATAAACAAGCAAACAAATGATATTTAACGACTCACCTTGTAGCTGTCGGCAACCAGGAATCCCAGGCAAGTGATGGTTTATGGGAAAAGCCAAGTGGGAGAGATTAGCTCCTCTGCAGACCAAGCCTGCCTCCTTCTCTGAGATCAAATCCTGCAGCTAAAGGGTGGATTTCCTACGGACTGACTTGGCATTTAGCAACGATGCCACAAGGTCTGACGACAAGTTGGCAAGGCTATACAGATTTCCAGAAAAGGGAGAAGTTTTCAATTAGCAATAATTGCGCCTCGGATTATTATTTTTTACAGCCTTAGCCCTCTTTCGCCTCCCTGGCCTGCCCTGTCGACCCAGACATAGCTTCCCCCTGCCCTTTTCTGTTAGAAGAAAGGATTCTCCCATAATTATACCTTGAAAGGATGTGGTAAATTATGTTCTGTAGCCACCCTGATTTTGTGAGTACCATGTGGCGTTTTTAGGGCATTACAGGAAACTAGCTCTTGACTTGCCGACTGGTCTTGCTCATGCACCCCCTGGTGCTTTCAGTGGAGAGAGTGTACCACTCTTGTTCCTGAGCTGAGGCTCCTATAACAACAAATTTTTAATAGCTGCTTAATAATATGCATGCCAGATTCGGCACAGCGCAGAAGTCTGACCTGTTTGTGTTCTTGAGGCTCTTTTCCTCTGGGCTGATCTAAACGTGGCAACAGCTATGGAGACGATACCAATGTAGGTTGTTTTTTTAATGCCAAGGTTTTTCCATTGTTTTTGGGTGGCTGGATTAAAGGAAAAAGCGGCTGATGTAGAATGCTTCCTTCTCTTCTCTACTAGAGGTCAGACTATGGTGTCTGAGGCATCTTAGTTTAGAACAGCGATGGCCAAACTTGGCCCTCCAGCTGTTTTGGGACTACAACTCCCATCATCCCTAGCTAACAGGACCAGTGGTCAGGGATAATGGGAATTGTAGTCCCAAAACAGCTGGAGGGCCAAGTCTGGCCATCACTGGTTTAGAAGAAGCATAAGGGATAGAGAAAGATGGGCGAGGTTTATAAAATTATGCATGGTATGGGGAAAAACTGTATAGAGCAGATTTTCACCTCTCTTGTAATACTAGAAATCTGGTTCCCACAAGTTGTGGTATGGACAGCCAGCTAGGATATTGAGGGCTCCTAGCAATGCCGGATTTATGTATAAGCTAAACAAGCTATAATTTAGGGCCCCACTCCCTTGGGGGTGCCCAAAAAATTTAAAGGGGAAAAAAACTGGATGTATATTTCCAAAATATAAGATAAAAAAACAAATAAAACCTACATACAGCAACAGTGTTTTGTGTTGTGTAGGCTCCTGTGATGTAAGTCATGGGCCTCGCCTGCTAGCTTGCTCCCTAAAATATCACTGATTTGCTCATTTCTATATATAGGGTGCCTATATTCTGCATGGACTGGTTATTTTGTTATGTGCAAATGGCTTTAGATACCTATTAGGTCCGTCAATTACCATATAGCATATATTCAACACAAAAAACAGCGACAATTTGTTGTTGACAAAGGACAGCTGGACATATAAAGGGTGCTATTACCTTCAGTAGCTTAGGGCCACATCAAACCTAAATCCAGCCCTGACTGCTAGTCAAGGTATATGCAAGGTATATGCTTTATGCAGAGGGGATAGCTTATTGGGAAACCACAGCAGAGGGGATTATTGCACTCATGTTTTTCTTATGGCTTTGCGATAGGCATCTGGTTGTCCGTTGTAGGAAAAAGGAAGCTGAATTCTAGGCCTTTAGGCTCTTCTTATCTGATGCATTGGGACGCAGGTGGCGCTGTGGGTTAAACCACAGAGCCTAGGGCTTGCCGATCAGGTGGTCAGTGGTTCGAATCCCCGCGATGGGGTGAGCTCCCGTTGTTCGGTCCCAGCTCCTGCCAACCTAGCAGTTCGACAGCACGTCAAAGAACAAGTAGATAAATAGGTACCACTCCGGTGGGAAGGGAAACGGTGTTTCCATGCGTTGCTCTGGTTCGCCAGAAGCGGCTTAGTCATGCTGGCCACATGACGCGGAAACTGTACACCGGCTCCATCGGCCAGTAAAGCGAGATGAGCGCCGTAACCCCAGAGTTGTTTGCGACTGGACCTAACGGTCAGGGGGGTCCCTTTACCTTTATCTGATGCATGGCTCAGTAATGCAGAGCGGCTGTGTGAATGTGATCTGCAAGGGGAATGGAGTTTTACCGTGGCAATCCTTTTCCTCTTCAAGCTTCTCCCTCCGACTGCAGCCACCCCTTTGTGCCCTCCTCATCTTTGAAAGGGAATGATTGCTCACGGGAGGAGTTCAGAGTAGCACCGAGGAGATTGTGCCGTTCAGCAAGTGTTGGAGGCAAGTGTTGGCTTTTGTTGGAGGAGCAATCTCTCTTTTCTTCACTCCATGTGTTGTTCTGGGGGGGTTCCCCTGAATCCTTTGAGTCACTTGGGGAGGGGGCTATAGGAGGAGGAGTGGGAAATCCCCATTGCACTATTCCTTGCACAGGGTTCTGCTTGCAGAACCGCTTCGTTGAATTCGGCCCCAGCTGCCCCAACTCCTAAGACCCACTCATTCTGAATTTTGCAAACAAACAAGCGCTGTGTGACACAATTCAGCAAACTTGTGTGTGTGTTCTATAAAGTTTTTTTAAAAAATGCATATTTATTTGAAGCTGCTTTCGGTAACTTTGGTTTCTGACTTGCTAAAGCTGTGCACCATGAGGCATGTCCAAACCTAATTTGTACTGGTGTCTTCATTTGGATGATAGCAAAAGCAAAGCAATGTAATCCGTTTGTTCAAAGGCCTGCTCTCTAGCTATTGATAGCAGGCATTAAGTATTGCACAACCTTGTGCAGAGTCAGTTTCCAGATTTATTTTTCCAAGCAGCAGGCATCCTTCGCCTCTTTGAGCATAGATTTCCAGATCCTGGACATTAACAGTTCTTACGGATGCAAACCTCCGAACGGAACTGCTCCGGTGTTACTTTTGTTCTGCTTTCCTCAATAGTAAAAGATGACGGATCCCATACAATTAATGAAAGAGTTGCGTTCTGGAGTGGAGGTAGTATTAGCAGTACGGATTGCCTGGGAGGAAGCGAAAGGGGAGCTATTGGGAAGCTGTCACTGAGGCTCCCCGACCCTCAAATGCCAAAACTGGGTTTAGGAGCACCCCCAGACTCTGCATGTCCTTTTTTTTGGGGGGTAGGGAGAATCTGGCCCTGTTTGGCCTAATCCCTCAATGGATTAGATTTTATATATTGCAAAAATCCAAGACATATTCTGTTTGGGATGGCAGGTGTGCAAATACTGGAAAACGTGATGTAGAGACCGCTCCTCTCCCCCCATGATTTTCTCCCTCTCTTTTCCCATCAGATAAAAGTCTTTTAGAAGGGATGGGTGCCAGGCAAGGTCAGATAATGCTGCCAAGGAAGAAAATGGGTTTCCCATTCTGCTTGTGGAAATGAAATTGAACTGAATCCGTATAGGGCATATATAAGGGTGTTTGTGTGTATTTTTGTTGCTGTGTGCTTATAATTAGAACATTTTAAAAGGAAAAAAAACTTGGGAGTTTGCTGTAAAATTAAACCCAATGCAAGAACTTGGCTGTTGTTGTTGTTTTTTACTACCTATATACTTTGGAACTCCCTGCCTATTCTGCTTGAAAAAGTTCTTGTGTGGACAAGCCTGCCCAGATATTTAGAAAGCTGAGGTGATTTTAATTTGTGGGGGTTTTTTTTAGCATTTTAAACTGTTTGTTTTCAATGTACAACTGTGAATTATTACTTTTTTTTGTAAACTCTGTTGAGGTGCTTTTTTATTTTTGTTTTACAGTCCAAAAGATGTATTCGTTTCAATGAAACAATAAATAAAAATAAGCGACAAGATTTACTCCTGTGACTTGACCCGTTTTTGGGCGGGAAAGGCCGCCTTGTCGACTGCGCATGCGTCACACTTGGGGTGTGTAAAGGGGGGGAGAGTTGACGGAGAGGAGGGAGGTTCGGCAGTTTCCGTCGTTTTCCGAATCTCCTCCCTGCTGCCCCGCCCCCCTTCTCTCTCGGCAATCTCCGTCCGCCTCCGTCCCTCCCAGCCCCGCCCCTCGTCCCTTTCCGCCCGCCCTTCGGCCGTTTCCGCCCGCCCCCTTTCGGAAACGGCCGAAGACGCGCTGAAGGAACCGGCGGCGGGCGAGGTGATGCGAGAGGCGAGGAGGGCTGTCGCGCGCGGATTGGGTGGCTGGCTCCGTGGGACGAACCATCCGCGGCTGGCTCGGAGGTAGGCGAGACGGGGGAAGGACGGAGGCAACGCGGGATTCCGCGGGGGGTGCGGGGAGGCGAAAACAGCAGCGCGTCTCTCCACCCGCACCGCGCGCCCCCCCCGCTCCTTGTCCTAATGGTCGCTGCCTACGGATCCCGGGAGCGGCCGGCTTAGCACTGCGGGAGGGTTAAACTAAGAAGGTGAAAGCGGAGGGGGGAGCGAGACAGAGATGGAACGTACCACGAGTGATGAAGGAGAGGGGTGTGTGCGCACAAGGCAAGTATGCGATTTTTTTGGGGGGGTGCGTTGAGTCTCTGCAGGGGGAATAACCCCCTTTTTTGGATAATGGTACTGCCTAAAGAAGGAGACCCCCCATCCCCCTTTAAGGTAGCTTTGGAGGTGGGGGGGTCTCTCCATCTGGGGGGCTGTTTGGGGGTAATTCTGGGGACACCCTCCAAAAATAATCATGGGGGGTCTAGGGACTCCCAACTTTGGAGGGCAAAGAAGTATCCCCCTAATCCTGGGGTCTGGGGTCTTTCACCTGTGTATGCATGTGTGGTTTTTGAAAGCGCAGGCACTTTATTATTAACATTGCCATTAATAATAATGTATTATTGCCATTAATAATAACGTATTATTGCCATTAATAATAATGTATTATTACATGTCGGAGGCTTGGTGTGTGTTTGATCTGGTCACCGGTGTGTTTGGTTTTGTGGAAGAGCTAGCTCTCTGAAATCCTGTGCCTTTAGCACATGAGTGCTCCTGGCTGTGGCTTGCAGATCCGAATAATAAGAATAAAAAGAAATAATCCCATTAGGTAGGGGGAAAGAAGAAGCCAAAACAATGCAAAACCAGATCAAACCATCTCATTGTGGTGGTGGTTGTTTTAAATACAAAATCCTGTCTTCTCTTCCCCTGGCTGGCATTTCACCTAATCTCATATAAAACATTGGTATTATTATTATTATTAAATGCCAAACAGCAGATTAGGAGAACACCTCCACTGTATGTCAGCAACAGCAATAAAAGCAGTGGTTACATTTGTTTGTTTCAGGGTTTCCTTCCTGCATTTCCACCCACACACCCACTCTCCAAATGGATTGTTTGAAACAGTGTATATCCCTGCATATACACTGTTTCAGTAACAGTATCAGTATCCGTTTAAAAAACTGAACCATAGAAAACTGTCAAAAGGCAGGTGTGGTTAGTTACCACTATATTATCATCATTATCATTTTTTATTACGTTTCGTTATTATTAATTAGTTGGTTGTTATCAAGATCTCCAGGAGACTTTCAGGAGGCTCTGTCTCTTATTCCCACCAGGTGAACTTTTGATAATGGTGGCACATGAAGTTATAATGAGCAGTAGATCAACCTAAGATAAATTAAAAACAACAGCAGCACATATGAACTTCTTCGCCCACATTCATTTATTTTGTTTGGCTGCTTACGGTGCTTTATGCGTGAATTGTCTTTATTTTTATTTTGTATTTTGTTCTTGATTGGCATCTGTTTCATTTCGATATTTTGTAGTGCGGTGTTTTAAAGAGGGGCTGGAAATTGCTTAGGGTTTTCTTCTTCGGAAATGCAAAGTAGTATAGAAATGATTAAAACGAAAGAATGGGTCAGACTTAGCGTCTTGCCTAAAGTAGGAGAGGTTAGACCATGTCTTTCCAGATATTGCTATACTACATCTCCCATCAGGCTCAGTTTACGAACCTATTGTTGTTGGCACCTGTCTGTCTCAAGGGTGAAGTTAAACCGCTGCTTTAGCAGCTCTGAAGTGACCTCCCTGGGGCATAAGCCTGGTCTGCCCAGACAAGACTCCACCCCCCTTGGCCTTGCTGTTGTGGTCCAGAGGAAAGCAGAGCAAGATGGCTGGCACCAGCTTGGCAGCAGGAGTTGCTGGAAGGAGGCGTACAAGACGCCATCCAACCCTCTTAGCGACTCCACTCTGGATTTGTGTAGGGTCTACACCTTAGCCTTTTCTTCTCCTTACCTCTCTCGCCCCAGACTAGATTATTGTAACTCGCTCTACGTGGGGCTGCCCTTGAGACAGACCCAGAAACTCCAGCGGGTACAGAATGCCGCGGCGAGACTCCTTACAGGGTCCTCGCTGCGGGATCACATTCACCCGGCGCTATACCAGCTGCACTGGCTCCCGGTGGAGTACAGGATCAGGTTTAAGGTGCTGGTTTTAACCTTCAAAGCCCTATACGGCCTAGGACCCTCGTACCTACAGGACCGCCTCTCCTGGTATGTCCCACGGAGGACCTTACAGTCTTCAAACAAAAAAAAACTTGGAGGTCCCGGACCACAGGGAGGTTAGGTGGCCTCAACCAGAGCCAGGGCTTTTTCGGCCGTGGCCCCAATCTGGTAGAACGCTCTGTCCCAAGAGACTAGGGCCCTGCGGGACCTGACATCTTTCCGCAGGGCCTGCAAGACAGAGCTGTTCCACCAGGACTTTGGCCAAGGCACAGTCTTATCCTTTGGTAATCCTCACAGAACTCTAACCCAATGGTTGCCATTAATTTAATTTTGAACTGATTTTAGAATGCTGTGTTACTTTTATTGTTGTTAGCCGCTCTGAGCCCGGCTTCGGCTGGGGAGGGCGGGATATAAATAAAATATTATTATTATTATTAATATGTCCCGCAAGGCGGCAGAGGTTTATGATCACAGTTTTCTTTTTCCTAGATGGGCTCCCTTCCCAGGTGGATGAGGCCCATCTGCCCCTTGCTTCCAGCATGTACAGAATCCACCTTCTTGGCTGTTGGATGCCCTCTTGGTCCTGTCCGCTCAGTCTGCCAGAGTCTGCTGGATCAAGACAGTGATCCATCTGGTACGGCATCCTCCTATGAGCTCAGGATAGATTGCTCTCCATCTCTCAACCCCTGCTTGTTGTCACGGTCCGGTTCACGGGCGATCAAAGTCCTGGCTAGGAACGTTGGGACCGGGGGCAATATGGCGGGATGGGAGCAGGAACGGGAGTCCAGAAGCCAGGAGTCGGGAAGCCAAGAGTCCGAGGGTCATAGAGCTGGGAGTCAAGAAGCCAAGGGTCCAAGGGTTAGGAAGCAAGGAGTCATGAAGGCAGGGGTCCGAGGATCAAGAAGCAAGGCAGGGAACATGTTGCTGTGGCAAAGAGCTGAAGGGAAATGCTGACCTTATATCCCTTCCCAGCTCTTGCCACCAGGTACTGTAAGTTACAAAGCGGCCTCATCTGTGCGGCCGTGCCTTGCCTCTTCAGAACAAACTTAGGAAGGCCCCAGTCCTACCAAGTCCTATTGGTCACAGGGCCTGGCTTCTGTATGCACACCTGACACTTGTTTCCAAATACAAAACACTACTGCCACTCTGATTTCCTGCATTTTTACCTTGCGTTTCTTCCAGTGTGGCATACCTGTTTCTCCCCCTCTCCATTTCATCCGCACAACAATCCTGTGAGGTAGGTTAGGGCTGAGAGATGGTGACTGGCCCAAGGTCACCCGAATGAGATTCATGGTGGAGTGAGGATTTGAACCCCTGGACTCCCAACACGCCGACCACTTTGCCACACTGCGATCTTGCCTGGCCAAAGTTTTGGGGCAATTGTGATGAAGATTAGCTGCCTTGTAGTTGGAAAGATATCTATATACTCACATAATCTGGTTTTGATTTGTCGCCCAGTTAAATAAATATTAGAGGCTGCAATCCCAGTCATGTCTCCTTGGAAGTAAATCCCATTGAATTAAAAGAGTAAAGGTGTTTAGGATTGCAGCCTTAGTCAATGAATCATTTAAGTTACAGCTGATTAGACCAAATTGCCAAACTTTGAAGAGCAATTTTAGTCAACGAATCACTTCAGCTATAGCGGATTGGATTTAAATTGTGAATCAAAGCAAATCCTTTCTGAAGGGAAAAAAATACTTTGTTTTCTAGATGATGTGAGTGCATGTCTCGGGAGATGCCATTTTTAAAGAGGCCTTCTGTCAACAGAGAAAAGGAAATGCTGCCCTGTGAATTCTTGCATTAATCAGAATTTTATTTTCTTTTATTGCCTGATCTTTATCTGGAGCGCTTTGGTCCAAAGGAGTTGCAAGATGCAATCCTAGCACGCCTAGGGACGAGCAAAGCCTTTTTATCTTGGAACTGAGCAGAAGTGCTTCACATTGTACACAAGCTAGGTGGCTAACTTGGCTCCTGATCAGACGAATGTATCTTGCCCTGTGCGTTGTGCCATTAAGTTCCTTGGGGGCCAGAGGCTTCTCTTGTACTCTTGCCAGGACGTATCAAATAATTTATTATCGTCATCTGTCTTCGCTGCTGGATGAAATCAATATTAAATGGATGGATTCAACAGCTCCGATGGAAGGCGAAGGATCCAGACTGGGAAAATGCTGCGTTCAGTAGGGAGTCCTGTGTGGCAGTAATGACTAACTTCTCTTGGTATTTACCGAAATGCTAAGGGGAGTTTGTAGGGGGAGGGGATTCTTGAGTTCCCTTTCTCCAGCAGTCCCCTCTGTCCTCAGCTGAATGGTGACGAAAATCCCCTCCAGTCCCTTCGTTCGTGCAGAGTTCTGCTATTGTCTGAGCCACTTCTTCCCTCCCTTCCAGCAATGACAGTTTTATCTTCGTTCAGAGCTCGGCTTCGTGCGCGGCCAAAGGGTCCTGGCAGCAAAACAGTGGTACAAACAGCCTGTGAACTGACTGACATTTCGTTGCAAAAGGGATGTCAAAACAACCTTTTTCTTTTTTAAAAAATATGCCTCGTTGTTGTTGTTTGGAGTGGGGTGGTGGTGGGAAGAGATATTGGAGGCTTGTGGCGTTCAGATGTGGGCAGCTGTTATAGCTGGAAAGGCCAGATGATCAAAGGTGCATTTTTTACTGATGGCTCTCTCTCTGTGTGTGTTTAAGTTTAACTACTTTAAAGTCTTTAGAGCAGGGGTCAGCAAACTTAACCGCGCCTCGGGCCAGTGTCCCCAGCACCGAATGCGTGGAGGGCTGGGGAGCACGTGCCCATATGTGTGCGCACATGCTATTTCCGGTGCACTTCTGGTTCAGAGGAGCACTGGAAATGGCTTGTGCGCATTTGCATGGGCCTCCTCCGACCTGGATGAGCACCGGAAACAACGCTTGCGCATGCGCACAATGCTTGCGCATGCGTATAAGCTATTTCCGGTGATCCTCCGACCCGGAAGTGGTCAACCACGCAGCGCAATGCCGGTAAGAGCGGGCGGCGGCAGTGGGCAGTGGGGGTCACCGCGGGCCGGATAAATGAGTCCCTCGGGCCTTATCCGGCCCACGGGCCTTAGTTTGGGGACCCCTGCTTTAGAGTAACAACAGTTAATGTCATTCCAGGCTCAGGTGCGTTTAGAATTTGAGATTTCTGGATTTTCATTCTGGAAAGCATTTATAAAGTTTTGCTCTTTGCAGATTCTGGAGAAGCTCCTTTTGGTATTTTTGTGTGTGTGGTCAGGCTCTTATTTACACGACTTGAGTACGGCTGTATAGCTCATAATGGTTCTTTGTTGTTTGCCCTGCTGTGCTGCTTTAAATCTGAAACTGTAGCCCTGTTAGCTTCTACCCTGGGAGCGTGAGGCAAATTGTTGTTGTTAGCTGTAAAAAAGGGTACATCAGGGTGTATGTGGGACTTTGTGGGAGTAACGTAAGTGATAAAGGCAGCCTTCCCTCACCCAGGAACATAAAATAAAAATTTCAGGGTGAATGAAATGAAATGAAAGGGAGGGGTTAGCAGCAGTCTGGAGCAAAATGCCTTTCTAACCTCAATTATGGGTTCTGGCCGGATCCTGAAGGTTGACTTGCACACGGCAGCCCCCACATGATGCTGCTATCTAGCTCACAGTTAGGCTGTGGCCACATGGAGATGACATAAGAACCTCAGGGGCAGCTGGTGGGCACATGAGGGGCAAGGCCTTTTTGGTGGTAGCACCTCAGTTGTGGCCCTCGGCTTCTCATTCACAGATAATATATTCATTTTGTTGTATTGTCCAGTAGCACCTTAGAGACTAACTAAGCTTGTTCTGGGTATAAGCTTTTGTGTGCCTGCACACTTCTTCAGATGCTAATTTTTTAAAATAAAAAAATATTTATTTTGACTGCGTCAGACCAACACGGCTACCTACCTGAATCATTTCGTTGTATGTTATTTACAAACACATTAGGATATGCAGAGGACAACTGTAGACTTTAAATTTGATTTTGATAGCTAGGGACATATTTGCAAATTCAGTCTGGACTGGAGGCTATTTGTTCTTTTGAGGATATTGTATCTGGATATACTGCTCATGAGTGAGTCCTGCAGTAGTGATATTGACATCTTTTCAGCACCAGGTTACGACTTTCCTCTTCACCTGGGCATTTGGTTGAATTTGATCCAAGGATTTATAATAGCTTCTGCTAATTCACACTCACAGAGAGAGACATATCCTCCCTGGTATTTTGCTACTGTGATGTCTGGTGGCTCCAAAATATACCCACCACCATGAAGAAAATCAATATGGTTGTGTGCCCTTGTGGACTCAGTCCCGCAGGAGGCAACGATAACCGGTAACCTTAAAAAAAAAAAAAAAAAAAAGGTAAGTGACCCCTGACCATTAAGTCCAGTCGTGAACGACTATGGGGTTTCGGTGCTCATCTTGCTTTACTGGCTGAAGGAGCCGACATTTGCCCCCAGACAGTTTTTCTGGGTCATGTGGCCAGCAGGATGAAGCCGCTTCTGGCGAACCAGAGCAGCGCATGGAAACACCGTTTACCTTCCCTCTGCAGCGGTACCTATTTATCTACTTGCACTGGTGTGCTTTTGAACTGCTAGGTTGGCAGGAGCTGGGACAGAGTGACGGGAGCTCACTCTGTTGTGGGGATTCGAACCGCCAACCTTCCGATCGGCAAGCCCAAGAGGCTCCGTGGTTTATACAGCAGCACCACCCGCATCCTAGATGACTTTAAAAGGATTAGGCAAAGGCTATGGAGGGCTGCTCAGATCCTGCTTTTGAGTTTCCCACAAACATCTGGTCGGTCACCATAAGAGGAGGCTGCTTGGCTAAATGCGCCGTTGGCTTGAACCAACAGGTTCTTAGGAAATGGCCCTCATCATTGTCCCAAGAGAAACTTAAATGTGAAGATGCTGCCTGACACTTGATCTCTGTGGCAGTACCTGATGTGCCAGAGGAAGTGGAAGGTTGGGTTGGGGAGATCACCCGGTACAGAGTATTCTAATTACGGCTTCAGACTGCTTTTATCTGACAACTGCAGCCAAATTTCGATGCTTCAGCACTGCTTTTTGGTGGCGTTTGCCTTTGGGCCTGTTCTCCAGACAAGCTGAGTCATTTGCCTGACAGTCTGGCTGCTAGAGGCTTTGTTAGGGCTGGTACAGACCATGGAGCCAAGGTGGGGTGTTTGCCAGGATGTGAAGGCTCCGTCCCTTTTGGCAAGTCGTTCTGCAGGTAATGTGGGAATTGGAAGCCTTGACTGCTGTCCGGCCAGGAAGACTAATGCTATCGTAAAGCAGAGGAGGGTTTTATTTTATTTTTTTGAACTGCAAAGCGATACCCTATCTTTGAAATATAACTGCTAATTGAAGTCTCCTCCTGTTGAGAGTGGTTTGGCTAATCCGCTGCAAATGGTTTAAGTTCTTGGGGGGGGGGGGGGACCCAAGTCGTTCAAGGCCAATATTTGAAATGACTCCAAAGTGCTATAATTCTGTATAGATTGGAACAGGCTTTTCTCCCTCAACTTCTTTTAGTAGCTTTCACTTTTACATCCTTTTGGGGCATGAGGTTTGTGTTTGTGTGTGCGCGCGCGTGCTAATCTGATACCCATCGAAGATACAACCCTCATTTTTTTTTTTGTTCTTCCCTTGCTGGCTCCTGATAAACCAGCCGACCAATTTCCGTAGGTGTATTGATGCAATCAGTTTGTGGAAAGCATGAGCGTGGGAAGGGAAGATTGCCTTGAGTCTTTAAAGCAGCCTTCGCCAACTTGGGGCCTCCCAAATAGTTTGGACTACAACTTCCATCAGCACCAAGTTTAAAGGCAGCAGTTGTCTTTTAAAGGTGCCTGGCCTGGGAAATGATAGGCAGAACATTTCTTTTTTGAAATAATTTGGGAGCATATTCACCCAGTGCTTTTACAGCTGCACTGGCTCCCGGTGGAGTACAGGGTCAGGTTTAAGCTGCTGGTTTTGACCTTTAAAGCCCTTCACGGCTTAGGACCCTAGAACCTACGGGACCACCTCTCCCAGTATGCCCCATGGAGAACCTTAAGGTCCATAAATAGCAACACCCTAGAGGTCCCGGGCCCTAAGGAAGTCAGATTAGCCTCAACCAGGGCCAGGGCCTTCTCAGTGGTGGCTCCGGCCTGGTGGAATGCTCTGTCTCATGAGACCAGGGCCCTGCGGGATCTGATTTCTTTCCGCAGGGCCTATAAGTCAGGGTTGTTCTGCCTGGCCTTTAGCTTGGAGTCAATTTTATCCCCTCCCCCTCTTCTTTTTTCCTTTCTCCTCCTGTGATGAGGCTGCATTTTTAATTTTAATGTTTTAATGTTGTATTTTAATCTTGTTTTTAAGTTGTATTCATTCAACTTGTTTTTATTATTGGTTGTTAGCCGCCCTGAGCCCGGCCGTGGCTGGGGAGGGCGGGGTATAAATAAAATTTATTATTATTGTTGTTATTATTGATTTTGCAAGTGTAGAGTTATAACAATGCAAAATACATATCCATATTTAGAGATTTCTCTGAATCTCTAGATTTCGCACCTTCCCCTCCATGGGTCCTATTATAAACCTTTACAACTGCATATTATTTCATCATCCAAATTTTATATCTCTCCATTTTGTCCATAGTATCTTCTTCATTGTGGGACGCGGGTGGCGCTGTGGGTAAAACCTCAGTGCCTAGGGCTTGCCGATTGTATGGTCGGCGGTTCGAATCCCCACAGCGGGGTGAGCTCCCGTCCTTCGGTCCCAGCTCCTGCCCACCTAGCAGTTTGAAAGCACCCCTAAGTGCAAGTAGATAAATAGGTACCGCTTTATAGCGGGAAGGTAAACAGTGTTTCCGTGTGCTGCGCTGGTGCTGGCTTGCCAGAGCAGCTTCGTCACGCTGGCCACGTGACCCGTAAGTGTCTCCGGACAGCGCTGGCCCCCGGCCTCTTAAGTGAGATGGGCGCACAACCCTAGAGTCGGACACAACTGGCCCGTACGAGCAGGGGTACCTTTACCTTTACCTTTATCTTCTTCATTACAAGTGTTATTGCAATCCTGCTAATGTTGTCATCTGCTTACAGTGGTCTCCCAAGTAAATTATATTTTTTTCCTATTCTTTATCGAAGTTTTGGTCTTCTTGGTTCCTGAGCTTCCTGGTCAATTTTGCCATTTAGGCGTAATCCAACAGCTTAGTTTGCCATTCCTCTCTGGTAGGGACTTTGTCCTCTTTCCATCTCTGGGCTAGTAGCAGCCGTGTGGCTGTCGTTGCATACATTAAAAAGTCTTTCCTGCTCCTTTGGGATCTTGTTACCTACAATTCCTAATAAAAAAGCTTTGGGGTTGTTGCTTTTTTTTATAAAAGTCATTTTAAACATTTTTTTTCAATTCATTATGTATCATTTCCCAGAATGCTTTTATTACCTTGCATATCCACCACATATGGTAAAAGGTGATAGGCAGAACATTTCTAATCATTCTGTTTCTGGTCTTGATTGGAAGATGCTGACCAGTCGTGAAGCGAGATTCTTGCCGTATGTTCTGTATTAATTTGCCAAATTAGTTGGTGGCCATCTAAGGAGGAGGTTAGTGAATGAAATCAAACCTTTAGCCTTCAGTGCTGCAGGCACTTTGCTAGTGGGACTGAGTTTGGATGGACTTTTGCATAGGATTGTGCTGTTCATGGGGTTTCTGTTTTAGACAAACTCTTGTTTATCTTTCTAATATGACGAAAGCAAAACCGTAAGAGGAACGATCTGCTCCTACTTCCCTCTGCATACTCATTGCTTGCCAGTGGGCTTTTCTCTGAATAGCAGAACTTCATGGAGAGCAGCTGCTTTTTGTTAAGAAGTTTACATTTCACTGGAGACGTTCTATTGTTGGAATGTTTTGCAGTGCCCCATTTTTATAAAAAAACAAACAAACAAAAACCCAATAGCCTGGCATTTTTTACCAATAGCATCTTCAATTCTGGTTCTTGTTTTTTTAAAAAAAACAAAACAAATATTGAGACCGCAGATCAGTGGTTCCCAAACTTTTTCTAGCCACTGCCCCCTTGGTTCCATAAACTCACCCCAGTGCCCCCTACTCTACCAAAAGCATTGTTCAGAATAGCAGTTTGCATGACCTGCTAAGGAAGGGGATAACACCATAAAATTCGAAACAGTAACAATCAGTTGCACATTTAGTCAGAACCCAATTAAAACTATTCGTTTTAATTAATTCAACACAAACTGATGAACCTGATCCAGTGATAGCAGTTTTTAAAAGCCTGGTAAACGTTATCCCTTCCAGTGCCCCACTGCTGCCCTCTTGCCTTCTCATGCCCTCCTAGTTCATCCACACACCCTCTAGGGAGTGGTACCACCCACATTTGGAATTGTTGCCATAGGTGGACGTGGGGTTATCCTGCAGTGCAGGATAAACCCAAGTTAACAAGAATAGGAGAGCATAGAACAACACCCTGGCAGCTGTGGTTTCTAAACATGGAGTATGAAAAGGCTCCTGCCTTGTTAACCTGCAGGTACATTTCCTCTCTTGAGTGGTTCTGGGGGAACCACGCAGCCTGCCTGGCAAGTGTGCGACGTTCTTTTTAGACAGCTGGGGAAATTCTTACTTGAAGATAAATTTTAGTTCAGTACTGAGTGCAGAAGTAAGGGGCTGAGTGCAGTAAGGGGCATGGGTGGCGCTGTGGTCTAAAGCACTGAGACTTGGGCATGGCGATCAAAAGGTCAGCAGTTCGAATCCCCGCGACAGGGTGAGCTCCCGTTGTTCGGTCCCTGCTCCTGTCGACCTAGCAGTTCGAAAGCACGCCAAAAGTGCAAGTAGATAAATAGGTACTGCTCCCACGGGAAGGTAAATGGCGTTTCCGTGCGCCGCTCTGGTGTCAGTGTTCTGTTGCGCCAGAGGCGGCTTAGTCATGCTGGCCCCATGACCTGGAAAAACTGTCTGCAGAGCAGACAAACGCCAGCTGCCTTGGCCTGTAAAGCGAGATGAGCGCCGCAACCCCAGAGTCGTTCACGACTGGACTTAAATGTCAGGGGTCGCTTTACCTTTACTGAGTCCAGAAGTTCAGCCAGGATGTCTCTCCATTTCCATCTTCATCCATGCTCTTTGACTCTGCTGTGTGATAGGAATTTTATGGTCTTAGATATATGGTAGTGTTCATAAGTATACCAACCAAGCACGTACATAGATCAGCACAGGAAGACCAACCTGGAACCATTTTGATTCATAAACTGACCAAATGTTTTCTCTGCAAGGTCAAAGTGGGAAACCTCCCCATTGTCTCTTTCCTCACAAATCCTGTCTTAAGGGCACATTTAAGATATGAATAGGGTGTGAGCCTGTGACCTGGCCCAGGAACTAAGTATTCATCACTACAAAAGAATGGCCGGGCTCCCCAGGCAATCCAATCAAGTGACCTGCCAGACAGGAGATAAATAACAACAGGAGAAAAACAACATTCAAATTTCTGTTTTAGACCGCCTTTTCTGTGATGTAGGTGTGATGTATCTGAGGGGTGGTCTTAGGTTACACCCCTTCTGTGATGTATGTATGACGTTTCTGGGGGTGGTCTTGATCTACAGGGTGGCAATTTCAAAAGTCTTTATAAGGCCTTGCACAGCATTGTTCTGGGTTCCTCCTCCTTTCCTGCGGGTGAGGGGAGCACCGTGTTGCAACAGATCAATAAAGATCAGGCTTACTAGCTGCTTTGCTTCTCAATATTCTCTGGTTGGCCTCTGTTATTCTCTCCTACCAATAGGGAACCTATGTAAGGACTCTATATGGGCTCTTGGATTTCCCCATAAGGGAAAAGGGCAGGTTTTATTTACAACAGCTGCCTGTGCTGGTCCATCGTCGGAGCCTTCCCAGTTGTTATTGCAGGGAACCAGTATGGGCGTGTGCCTCTGGTTTCTGAAGCTTCAAGCAGCGCCTACATCTTGAGCCACCCAGGAGGACATTGGAAGAGCTTGGTTTCTGCAGCAGGCCAATGACCCATTTCGTCCAGTATCCTCTTCTCACAGCAGCCAACCAGATGCATGTGGGAAGATGCCTGTTTGCTCAGAGACGGTTTAACAAGCCCTGTGCTGCAAATGTTTTCAGCCGGTTTTCCTGGCACGAGGATTTTTCTGAAGTGCCTGGGCCAACTGGCTCACAGAGACTTGCTAAAGCCCTCCTCTCCCAGTTGGAAAACGCCCCAGGAAAAAAAACTGCATCCCAGAGGGGGGTCGAGGGTGGATCTGGAGAGGGAACGATGCGCCAGGAACGAAAAAAGAGAGGCCAAAAGCAAAAGAGCAAAGTTGGAAGATGGGAGTAATTCCAGCCTCGGGAGTCATCGCTTGCAAAAAAAGCTGCACCCCCATAAAACAGTGAGAATTTGGAGAAAGAGAGACTCCGGCAAGACTTGGTTTTCTAAGTCTGGGCAGCGGTCTGTCTCTAGCAGACCCCGCGCTGAATTCCCAGCAACGGCATTGGATTAGCAGCAGGAACAAGAGAAACACAAACGCAGTTTTCATTATCCTAACACTTCATGCTGTGAAACTTACAATGAGGCCTTTTTAATCTGCCTCCAGCAAGCCTCTCCCCCACCTCCTTCAACATACCCGGTTGGACGCCCACAAGTTTTCTCGGCGGAGAGAGAGAGCACTGGTTTTAAAAGTGTTGAGCTTTTGGTCGAGGCTTCTGGGGTTCCTATAATCCCAAAGAATAATGGTTGATCCTCACGTGTTTTCTCTCTTACTATTGTGCACGTCTGTGTAGAGTTGAGAGTACATCTTTTGCCATGTCTGGAAGCTGTGCAGCTCCTGCCCGTTGTCCAACAAGGCATAAATGTGGCAAAATAAATGCTTTTTAGAGGGACGAACCACAGGGAGGAGGACTTTGGCAGGGAGGGGCGGCAGGACCTCACGGCTCCTCATGCCACTATCTTTTTCAAAACCCTAGAAGGGGAGGGGATATTTGAGCCAGCTATTGCTAATGAGGGACGCGGGTGGCGCTGTGGGTTAAACCACAGAGCCTAGGACTTGCTGATCAGGTCGGCGGTTCGAATCCCCGTGACGGGGTGAGCTCCCGTTGCTCGGTCCCTGCTCCTGCCAACCTAGCAATCTTGCAGTTCGAAAGCACGTCAAAGTGCAAGTAGATCAATAGGTACCGCTCTGGCGGCAAGGTAAACGGCGTTTCCGTGCTCTGCTCTGGTTCACCAGAAGCGGCTTAGTCATGCTGGCCACATGATCTGGAAGCTGTACGCCGGCTCCCTCGGCCAGTAAAGCAAGATGAGCGCCGCAACCCCAGAGTCGTCCGCGACTGGACCTAATGGTCAAGGGTCCCTTTACCTTTACCCTACCCTATAAAATGTATTCATTCAGAGTAGTGGTTTTCCCAACCCATTATGGAAGATTATAACACAATAAAATTCAGAACAGTAGTGATTTATTGCACCTTTGTTAAAACTCCAGTCAAAACTATTTAGTTAATTTCATTTACCAACACAGATGAGCTTGATGGAGACATACCAATGTCTTGAAGTCTAGTAATAATTTATATCTCCAGCAGCCCCCTGCTGCCTCCTTCCTCCCCAGCCCAAGTAAATCCCTCTGCCCCTACCCCCCAATGGGCAGTACCATCCACTTTGGGAACCATTGTACCAAACGCAGTGTAGGGAGCAGAATTCTTTGCAGCCGGGGAGTCAACACAAGAGCAAACTGACTGCTGGATCAGGGCCAAGGGGGGCCCGTCTAGTCCAGCATCCTGTTCTCTCAGTGGCCAGCCAACCAGATGCCAACCAGATCCCTGTGACTGGCATCTACAGGCATTGGGCTCCAATACTGGAGGTGGAGGAATATGGCTGCATTCCACCTGAGATTGCCTCTATGCAAAAGGGAGAAGTGGAAATAACCATTGTAGAAACTGAAATATGAAAGCTAGGAGCTAAATGTAACCTTAAACCTAGGTTATGGGTTCAACAACGGAATGCCTAGGTGCAAAGAATACAAAGCTGAAAATGAATGAACTGCAGCTAAAATACTGTGTTCCTTTTTTCACATGGTCTAGTCCTTCCCCTGCCCACCCCCCATATATTCTTCTGAGGGTCTCTTCTCCAGTCTCCAGAGAGTAGCTGGACGTAGGGAGGCAGAAAACGGTCCTCCTTTCCTTCCACTCCGCAGTTATAATCTGAAACCTTAGGCGCCGTATTGCGCCCAGAGCTCAGTTAACTGCTCGCCCTAATGAAATTCCCTGTTGCAAAATGCGCCTACAACGATGGGAGTTTCCAACACTGGAACTATCCCAACCCTCACCTTTCGCCTCTAACCCATGGCAGCGACCTGAAGTCGAAGGAGGTGTGGCGGTGCATTGCAAAAGAGTTTTTTCTGCCTTCATCATTTTATGGAACCCGTGGGACAAGGTGGCTCCGAGCAGAGTTGGCGTTGCTTCCCAAGAGCTCTTGAGGGATGTTGGGTTGGTATCTCTGGGATAATTTGGCTCACCCGATTGCATGAAGCGTGGTCACATCACCCACCAGTTGAGAGATTGGGGAGGGCACATATTTATTCAAACCCCCCTCCCCATATTTAACTCATGGACTCCAAGTTATTTCCAGTATTTTCTCAACTGTTGTTGTTCTTTCAGAAAAGTGCTCTATGACTAATTCTGGGTAAGAGGATACTTTTTTATCTCCCTTTCTCTTCTTGGGCTGCTTTGGTCCCAGTGCCTGCTGATAAGGTAAAGGGACCCCTGACCATTAAGTCCAGTCATGGCTGACTCTGGGGTTGCGGCGCTCATCTCGCTTTATTGGCCAAGGGAGCCGGCATACAGCTTCCGGGTCATGTGGCCAGCATGACTAAGCCGCTTCTGGCGAACCAGAGCAGCACACGGAAACACCGTTTACCTTCCCGCTGGAGCGGTACCTATTTATCTACTTGCACTTTGACATGCTTTCGAACTGCTAGGTTGGCAGGAGCAGGGACCGAGCAACGGGAGCTCACCCTGTTGCGGGGATTCGAACTGCCAACCTTCTGATCGGCAAGTCCTAGGCTCTGTGGTTTAACCCACAGCGCCACTTGCAAGTAAATTCTGGCTCCTTTCCTACAATTCTCCCCCTGCCCCTCAGAGTTCCCGTTTACCTTCCCTTCTGCATTTGGGTTTTCCTACTTTTCACTGGCTAGGTCTTTTAAAAAAAATCATAATAATGAAGAGTTCGTACATTGTTTAATTCATCTCGTATCTGCTTCCTCAGTGCCATTTCCTAGCAGTAATTGGCTACAGCTGCCGATCCCAGTGAATATCCACAAAGAAGTAAATTTAGATTCTTTTCATTGCCATCTTCGTTCCTCGTGGTTTGGGCGTCTTGTGCTTCAGGCTGCCCCTCTCTGCCTTAACATGTCAACAGGAAGCTGCCCTGATGGTCTTAATGTGCGTGTGTCTGAGTGATTTGCTTTCTCGGTCTCTCTCGGGTTTTTTTAAGGGCAAGATTCACATTTCTTTCTCTTCCCTTAGGTTTGGCCTTGTATTTTGTGGGTTTTGCAGAGGGGCATGAGCAAGGCTCAGCGGCAAAGCATCTGCCCCGGGTTCAATTCTCGGCATCTCAGGATAGAGCCGGGAATGTCCCCTGCCTGAAACCCTGGAGAGCAGCTGCCAGTCAGTGCAAACAATACTGAGCTAGGTGGATCGGATGGTCTGACTTTGCATAAGGCAGTTTTGTATGCCCTAAGGAGTTTCCCTCCTGCAAAACGGAGAAATTGCACCTTGCCCAAGGCCAGCTTAGTGAGCGTGTAGGCTCTGCTAGTCTTCTCACCTGTGTTGTTACGGTTTGGAAGTCTACAAAGCACTGTATGTACAGTGGTACCTCGGATTAAGTACTTAATTCGTTCCGGAGGTCTGTTCTTAACCTGAAACTGTTCTTAACCTGAAGCACCACTTTAGCTAATGGGGCCTCCCGCTGCCGCCGGAGCGCAATTTCTGTTCTCATCCTGAAGCAAAGTTCTTAACCCGAGGTACTATTTCTGGGTCAGGGGAGTCTGTAACCTGAAGCGTGTGTAACCCGAGGTACCACTGTACTGAAAGTGAAACTGAGGGCTTACGTTCCAGGAAGAAAGGCTCACAAGGAATAAAGGACTGGGTGTAGCCTCAGCCCAGGTATTGCTGGGCTGAACAACATGGGCTGTATTTGCAGAGCAGCCAGGAACTTATTAATACAGTCGTACCTTGGAACCCATTCCGGAAGTCCGTTTGACTTCCAAAACATTTGGGAATCAAAGCGTGGCTTCTGATTGGCTGCAGGAAGCTCCTGCAGACAATTGGAGGCTGCAGAACCCTTGCCGGACATTTGGGTTCTAAAAGGACGTTCAAAACCTGGAACACTCACTTCCGGGTTTCGATCATTTGGCAGCCGATTTGTTCGGGAGCCAAGGCATTTGAGATCCAAGGTACGACTATACTTTTTTCTTTTTAAATGAAAGTTGAAATTCTCCAGATCCAGCTTCTGTGCCGAAAACCCAAACAGCTGCGCAGCCGTGCATTTGCACCCCTGACCTTGCAGCTGCGGGCGGTGCTTCCTGACAACCCATGCCAAAGCTTTCCTTTTGTTCCCTCGCGCCCCCCCCCCCCTTTTGAAGACCTTACAGCCTTCCTTCTCGTCTCCAGCAAAGCCTTTTCCCGGCTCTGTTTTCCTCATTGATTGCACTTGCAGCTTGGGCTGAAGCCTCCCTCTGATCCTTGCGCTATTAAAAGCGGGTTGAGGGGGGGCCTCTTTCATTTGCCCGCGGAACAGCTGCTGTCAGTAAGCGCACTTGTTGTGTCGCGGGAGCACCAGAGCACCCAGGCGCGCAGCCTCTCAGAGCATCGCAGGGTCTGTGGTTACCTTTCTGAAGAGTCTGCTGCTTGGAGGTGGGGGACGTTCAGCATGCCGATGAGAGGATCCTGGGGGGTGGGGGGGCGGGCTGTGGGTGCCGGTGGCGATGCAAGGGCATCCCGCCCCATGGCAGCTGCCGCGATCCTGGACCAGCCTCCTCTTTCCTTTGAGCTCTAGTGTGTAACAGACCTTCCGTTTATGAGATTTGCTGATAGGGATTTGGAAATGTATTCCACTACATTTTGCAGGATTATGAGCGTTATCGTGGGCTGCTGCCAAAAAAGAAAGGAGCTGTTTCTCTCTCTCTCTCTTTCTCTCTCTTTCTCTCTCCCTGCCCCTCCCCTTGGGAAGGCAGCGATTTTTGCCCCGGGGCCTTTAATTCGAACATTACCCATGCAAAGCACATGCCTGCCTTTTTGTGTTCGAGAAGCTCAAATCTCAAATCTTATTAAAGAGCTGGATGTGAGAGCAAACTCTGGCATTTGTGTTGGGCCCTAGCCCAAGAGAGGCAAAGGCGCACCATAATATACCAGGCAAATGTCCTCGGAACTGGCAGATGTGATACATCTGGGCAGGATGAATCATGCTCCTACGGCCGTGGTTTTCGAGACTTTCTCAACTTCAGGGAGCCTTCCTCATGTTGACTTGCGTGTTGCTGAATCTCTGGCATGTTGTGGGTGATCCTGGGGAGTGTTTCGAGGCCATACGCTCACTTCGTGCGGCACCGGCAAGGAGGCCTGTTGAGCCTCATTGTTGCTCTCTGTGAACTGGGCAGACAGAACCCGGAGGCCCACCCACCAGAGCTGGGTGCAGTGGGGGGTTGGGAGCAGAGCTTGGATGCAAAATGAAAACTCGGGGGCAGTGCTAGAAATTAGCCAGGCGCATTTTGTGACTGGCACAGGTCCAGTTGTGACCACATGGAGATCTCAGGGTGCCAGGTTGGCGACTGGGGAAAGCAAATTCTTTAGTAATAATAATAATAATAATAATAATAATTTATTATTCATACCCCGCCCATCTGGCTGGGTTTCCCCAGCCACTCTGGGTGGCTTCCAACACAATATTAAAATACAATAGTCCGTCAAACTTTAAAAGCTTCCCTAAACAGGGCTGCCTTCAGATGTCTTCTAAAAGTCTGGTAGTTGTTTTTCTCTTTGACATCTGGTGGGAGGGCGTTTCACAGGGCGGGTGCTACCACCGAGAAGGCCCTCTGCCTGGTTCCCTGTAACTTGGCTTCTCGCAGCAAGGGAACCACCAGAAGACCCTCGGCGCTGGACCTCAGATTCTGGGTAGAACATGTCCCTTGGAGAAGGACCTTGAAATATTTTCCTTGAAGCTTGAATTTGTTTTATTCTGGGTTGTTTGGTTTGATGTTTCACTGTGTTGTAAGCTACTTTGAGATCCCCCCCCTTTAAAAAATAAAATGGTATAGACATGAAATGATTATTATTAATAATAATACTCATTTGAAAATTGGCACCTAGACATTCCATTGTGGCCTAGGTTTAAGGTGCCATTTGGTGATTAGTTTATGAGTTTCCAACACTTCTCAGGGGGAAGGTCCATTACTTCCTGCACCCCAGGAAGACCTTTATATACAAGTACAAATCAGTATCTTAAGTCTTTTTTTCCCTTTTAATAATAATAATTTATTATTTATACCCCGCCCATCTGGCTGGGTTTCCCCAGCCGCTCTGGGCGGCTTCCAACACAATATTAAAATACAATAGTCAGTTAAACATTAAAAGCTTCCCTAAACAGGGCTGCCTTCAGATGTCTTCTAAAAGTCTGGTACAGTGGTGCCTCGCAAGACAAAATTAATCCGTTCCGCGAGTCTCTTCGTCTTGCGGTTTTTTTGTCTTGCGAAGCACGGCTATTAGCGGCTTAGCGGCTATTAGCGGTTATTAACGGCTTAGCGGCTATTAACGGCTTAGCGGCTTTAAGAAAAAGGAAACAAACTCGCAAGAACTCACAAGACTTTTCGTCTTGCAAAGCAAGCCCATAGGGAAATTCGTCTTGCGGAACGACTCAAAAAACGCAAAACCCTTTCGTCTAGCAAGTTTTTCGTCTTGCGAGGCATTCGTCTTGCGGGGCACCACTGTAGTTGTTTTTCTCTTTGACATCTGGTGGGAGGGCATTCCACAGGTCAGGCGCCACTACCAAGAAGGCTCTCTGCCTGGTTCCCTGTAACTTGGCTTCTCGCAGCGAGGGAACCACCAGAAGGCCCTCGGTGCTGGACCTCAGTGTCCGGGTAAAACGATGGGGGTGGAGACGCTCCTTCAGGTATACTGGACCGAGGCCGTTTAGGAAAGAGGCCTTTTTTTAACCATCTTAATCCCAGTTGCTGGAAACATCAGGAGGGGAGAGGTTTCTTGTGCTCAGGTCTGTCTTGTGGGCTTCCCACACGCATCTCCTCAACTGCTGGGAGAGCAGAATGCTGGACTCTGTGGGCCACTGTTCTTATGTTCAGCTGGGAGACACCTTTGCTGATCTGCACCCAAAGTTCTATAAACCCAAATAGATTAATTCCCAGCAGGGTAGACCCTGATTTATTTTTCTGCACCCTGGGCGGGGGGGCAAGAGTGTACTCAGTGCCCCCCCTCCGCAGCGTCTCTATTTCGGGGGAAGATGGGGAGTGGCAGGCCATCTTGTCTTTCAGAGATGGATGCCCGCCATTAGTTATTTGAGATGCAGAATGTGAAAAGGGGCACATTTAAATTCTGAATATTGTGTTCTGCTTTGAATCCTCCAAAAAGGCTGCCTGTCTCTCTCACTATGAGATGATTGGAAACTGGTTGGCAGAGTGTCTAGATCTGGGGGTTGTGATCTGAGCCACTTGCCAAGTAAGGGAGGGATAGGAATTGGTGGGAAGCTGTTTTCCTTGCGTTCCTAAGGCTTCAATTTGGCATTTAGGCTTGCCTTCTGATTTGACTGTGGTCTTTCGTCAGCTCCTGAGCTGGATCACTTTCCCCCTGCTGTCTTCTCTCCTCTGCCCCATATATCCAGGGGGCACCTTTCTCCTGCGGCTTGCAACCAGAGTAAGCCAGGACTTCCTTTCCTTCTGATTTCCTGGAGCCTTGACACTAAGCTCTCTCCCATGTGATCAGACCACATCGATGGCTTTTCCCTTGAAACTGTTGAGTAAGCATGGATCCCGCCGACATGCCCCAGCTTCCAGATTTAGGCTGACACACCCAGGTGGGTTGCAGCCTGTTGGCCTAGCTCCAAGCAGAATTCATTCCTGACTGCAGCAGTAGCCAAAAACCAAAAATGCTCTCACGAGGAGCTGCTTTGTTGCTTGGCAAGGTGCGGTGGGCTGAAGGTGGAGTGAACATGCACAAAATCAGTAGTTTTATTCTGCACGGAACACCCTGCTGCAAGCTATAATTTGGATGCCAGTGTGGTTGTGTGTCCTGCAAGCGGGTAGGTCCCAGGACACTGTCTGATGCACATGTTGAAGTTAATCATGTCTGGGTCTGGGTCAATGCCCTGACAGGAGAATTCCTAGGAAGGACTGCAGCTCAGGGTTAGAGAATATTCATTGCATGCAGAATGTTCCCATAGCCAATCCTTGGCATCTTTGTTGTTGTTTGGTCCCGCAGTTTGGTTAGACTTATGCTGGTAGCTTCGAGAACGCTATCCAACCATCTCATCCTCTGTCGTCCCCTTCTTCTTGTGCCCTCCATCTTTCCCAACATCAGGGTCTTTTCCAGGGAGTCTTCTCTTCTCATGAGGTGGCCAAAGCATTGGAGCCTCAGCTCCAGGATCTGTCCTTCCAGTGAGCACTCAGGGCTGATTTCCTTCAGAAGGGAGAGGTTTGATCTTCTTGCAGTCCATGGGACTCTCAAGAGTCTCCTCCAGCACTATAATTCAAAAGCATAAATTCTTCGGAGATCAGCCTTCTTTATGGTCCAGCTCTCACTTCCATACATCACTAATGGGAAAACGATAGCTTTAACTATATGGACCTCTGTCGGCAAGGCGATGTCTCTGCTTTTTAAGATGCTGTCTGTAACCAAGGTTACAGTCACCAAAACGGAATGTCTAGTTGCCATTTTGGGGCAAGGCATCTCTTATTTTTCCAAATGATGGACTAGTTGTGATTGATTATCAGTTAGACATCCGGCTAGTACAGACGACCACTTTGACCTGGGTTAAAAACCTCGAGAATTTAAAGAAGAAAAATCCCTTGATCCAGGGACAGTCCACATTTATATTGGCCATTCCGACCTCTTTCTCTTAATGGTGATGTGGTCTGTTCATAACATCGTTCACAGCTCATGCTCCTGCTGCACTGAAAAAAGCATTTTCGTCCCTGAATTTCATAGGATGATAGAATTCTGTAGCACGTGTTGTTAGTGTGAGAAACCAGACCAGATCCAAGGATCCCCAGGCGCGACGCACCTTCAGATGGTGGAGACTTCGGGTGCCATCCTGGCGCCCAGGCATCTTCACTTGGTCGCAAGTGGCCAATGCCCAGGTGCAAATGGCGCCTGGCTAATTTCGAACACTGTTACCCAGCTGACAAAATCGGGGAGACAATGCTTTCTGCAATGCATCACCTTAAAAAATAATGGCTAATTTTGAACACATCTTCTACCTGGCCTCGATTTGGGCAGGTGCTCTTCATAGGTGTTGGTACCCTGTTGGCAGGAGCAGGCTGGACAGAGAAATAATTCAGCTGCATCAAAATCACCCTCCAGCATGGCGGACAGGGGTTTCGGACTGATACGTGGCTTTGAATGGTTCCTTCTGAGTTGCTAGTAAGGAATCAAGTTGAGAAACATCCACGGAAGGATTGGTGTTAACTTACGACGGTCTGAATGCGGCTCCGACAAACGTCTCCCTTGAGCCCTTGGAGGTTTTTTGTGTGTGCAGAGACTTGGTATCTGGCTTGGGGGTGAAGTTTGCGTATTCGGGAAAAGGGTCTTCATTGTTCAGCCCCTTATTTGGTTATAAATGCGCTTGTATTTCCAGAGTCAAAAGCGTTCCGAACATGAGATCGAGGTTTTTAACACAACCCAGCGTGAGCTACATTGGGAGGCATCCATGGGGAAAATTTCTTCAGCGGTGCAGGAATTGTACAGTTAACACTCTCTCTTTCTCCCCCTGCTTCCTTTTCAAATGGCAAATAGACCTGGTGACTGTTTAGCCTAGCTAAGAATCAGGCCTAACTAAGAATTTCTCAAGTGACCCTGGACAGGCCTTTCTGCCCAACTTTGAAGGAGCCTTCAGCTACAAAAGGTTCAGCTGTGTAGGGCTTGCAATTTGCAAAGTCAGCTGCTTAGGAGGAGGGTATGAAGAGTTTAAAAAAACAACAACGGTAAAGGACCCCTGGACAGTTAAGTCCAGGCCAAGTTGACTATGAGGTTGTAGCACTCATCTTGCTTTCAGGCCAAGGGAGCCGGTGTTTGTCCACTGACAGTTTTCCAGGTCATGTGGCCAGCAGGACTAAACAGCTTCTGGTGCAACGGGACACCGTGACAGAAACCCGAGCGCACGAAATCGCCGTTAACCTTCCTGCCACAGCGGTACCTATTTATCTACTTGCACTGGCGTGCTTTCGAACTGCTGGGTTGGCAGGAGCTGGGACAGAGCAACGGGAGTTCACCCTGTTGCGGGGATTCGAACCGCTGACCTTCCAGTTGGCAAGCCCAAGAGGTTCAGTGGTTTGGACCACAGCGAAGAGGGACCCTTGTGTGCAACTTATTTTCAAGGGTCAGTTACACATGTCTCCTGCTTCACTGTATCCCCCCCCCTCCTGTCCACCCCCCACCCTCTGTTTTCTCAACTGGAAAGTGTGATACGGGACGTCATCTCAGCTTCCTCCTTGGGACCATAGTAAAAATCCCGATGAAATTGCTGGGACAGCCGCGCATCACTGCTGCAGCTTTAACATTGCTCACGAAGCCAAGCGCCTTTTCCCAGTGTGGCGAGCTCTTGGCTGAGCTTTTAGGGAAATTAGGGGGATTCTATCTCCACCCCCCTCACCAAGCACAAAACGCAGTAGAAGGACAAGGGCTCATCTCTACAGTTGCCTTATGTTAGAAGAACTCAAAAGACCACTAAGGCACAGCATGATGTGGCCAAGCCTCTGCCTTCCTGAGCTCAGGGCAGAGGATCAAACCTAGCAAAGCTTGCAGCCTACTTCAGAGTCAAAGTTTAGCATGGCATCAGAAACAATACTGTGTCTCTCCCCTGCTGTGCCTCTCTCACAAATTCTGGCTCTGGTGTCAAGGCTAGCTGAAATCCATAGGTGCTGGTGCAGCCTCAGCTGCAAAACTGCCCAATAGCAGGCCATCTGTGCAACCAGGAGAGGTTTGTTTTGTTCCTCCCTCGAGCTGCAAAGCCTGAAAATGGTTGTTAATTTTCTCAGAATTTGGTTGTCTCTGTACATGTGCAGAAATCTCTGGGGGGAGTTGGGAAGCCCAGGAGAGGGACAGTCTGGTGCAAGGTAGGAGGGCCTAGAAAACAGTTTGTGGGTTGAAGGGCTGAGCGATATCTGGTTTTCATCATTGTGATATATCACCAGCTAAACATCGCAATATGCCAGTATATCGCAATGTCTGAAATGAGGATGGCGTTGGCTGGCTTCACGGTTTCCCCCGCATCGTGATTTTTGCCGGCTGCTGCTCTGGTGAGTCGCTGCCCCACTGCATGAGGCAGTGGAGAGCTGAGCTGTCAGAGTTAGCAGGGGCTGCAGGAATCGAGAGAAGCATTGGCTGGCTTCACAGTTTTTCCCACATTGTGATTTTTGCATATCTCACACACACACACACACACACACACACACACACACACACACCATGATTCCTGATATATTGCCAGGTCAAAAATTTTAAAACTGATACCATGATAGGGATTTCAAACCAGTTTTGGATGATACAAGGGAAAAAAAGGACCCCTGGACTGTTAAGTCCAGTCAAAGGCGACTATGGGATTGCAGCGCTGATCTTGCTTTCAGGCCGAGGGAGCCGGTGTTTGTCCACAGACAGCTTTCCAGTTCATGTGGCCAGCATGACTAAACCACTTTTGATACAATGGGACACTGTGACAGAAGCCAGAGCGCACAGAAATGCTGTTTCCCTTCCTGCCACAATGGTACCTATTTATCTACTTGCACTGGTGTGCTTCTGAACTGCTAGGTTGGCAGGAGCTGGGACAGAGCAACAGGAGCTCACTCCATCATGGGGATTCGAACCGCCAATCTTCTGATCGGCCAGCCCAAGAGGCTCAGTGCTTTAGACCACAGTGCCAGCCGCATCCCCCTTTTGGACAATATATCGCCCAGCCCTAGTAGGTTGTGTAGAACTAGGTTCCAGTTTGCAAGGAACTTTCAAGGAGATCAAGCTTGGTAGCGCAAAGCAGATGCACTTTTTCAATGCACTGACTTGACTCCTGGATAATTGGGCCACAGCACAGTTCGGACTCTGTTGCCGTTAGCATAATGATTAATCCAGCCCAGTCAGGCTCTCTTGACCTATGCAGGATTATGTCTTCAAGTACTTCCTTTGCTGCTTTGTCTGCAATTATTTTCTCTCTCTCTACTGCTCTTCTTCTTCCAAAACATTGCAGCTCTTGCCTCTTTACAATTTGCATTTAGATTGGCTGCCTGGAGGGAACGAAGTTGGACAGTGAAAGAAGAGGCCAAGCGAGTTCACGGCTCCTTGTGAGATCCTTTGCAATTGGCCCTGCCGTTTTGCGTAAAAACCTAGTCGCTCTCCTTATTGACAAACATGAAAAGAGTCCATTTCACTTTAATTTCATCCCTGAGAAAGTATTCCTTTTCTTGCAACTGGCTTTTGCTGAAGCAGTAAAGTGAACTTTTGTATCGTGCTCTTGTATTGTTGAGGCATGATTCCAGCTGAGGGCGACCAGCCAGTTTTCTGCTTCCCCTGCAGAGCCCAGAGACGAGCACTTAGCCCTGCAGCGCTGTGGGCTGGGAAATATTTAATACCATGCTTTACGAGCAACACTGCTTTGACATGTAAAGATTTACAGTCTTCAGGTAAAGCAAGCACCAGTCTTTATCACTGCCTCTGATGGTATTTGGCTAAAAAGCTGCCTTTTTGTGCAGGGCTGGATTTAAAGACATCTTGGCCCTATGCTGCGCATATTCCATGCGCAATAAACATGGTAGCCAGAATAATTTGGTGTAGTTCTTCTTTGGCTTGCTTGTTGTTGTTTAGTTGTTTAGTCATGTCCGACTGTTCGTGTCCCCCTGGACCAGAGCACGCCAGGCACCTCTGTCCTCCACTGCCTCCTGCAGTTTGGTCAAACTCATGCTGGTAGCTTCGAGAACACTGTCCCACCATCTCGGCCTCTGTTGTCCCCTTCTCCTTTTGCCCTCAATCTTTCCCAACATCAGGGTCTTTTCCAGGGAGTATTCTCTTGTCATGAGGTGGCCAAAGTATTGGAGCCTCAGCTTCATGATCTGGCCTTCCAATGAGCACTCAGGGCTGATTTCCTTCAGAATGGATAGGTTTGATCTTCTTGCAGTCCATGGGACTCTCAAGAGTCTCCTCCAGCACCAGAATTCAAAAGCGTCAATTCTTCGGCCATCAGCCTTCTTTATGGTCCAGCTCTCACTTCCATACATCACTACTGGGAAAACCATAGCTTTAACTATACGGACCTTTGTTGGCAAGGTGATGTCTCTGCTTGATTAGCTTTGCCCAATTTACTCTTCTGGGCGCCTGTGATTATTCCTTGATGGCTATTCTCTGCCTCCACACTTGGAGGCATTAATATTTCCAAGTTCTGGTTGCTGGAAACCACAGGAGGGGAGAGAGTTGCTCTTGTGTTCAAATCCTGTTTGTGGGTCCCTTCCCGCAGGGATCTAGTTGGCCACTGATAGTGTTAGAAACTCAGATACATAAGCCGAGGGCCAAGTGGCTTTTTAAATCAGGGTTACAGCCATCAAAACGAAATGCCTAGTTGCCATTTTGGGGGCGTTGTTTTTTTCAATATGACTTTACGGTTCCTGAAATTCATTCTGATTGGGCAGATAAAACAGCATGGATAGAATTTTACAGGATGTGTTGCTGGTGTGTGAAAACACTTCCGATGCAAGGGTTCCTCAAGAATGCACCTCCCAGGTGTTGGAGATGTCAGGCACCATCCCTGGTTGCAAGTGGCTGATAGCCAGGTGCAAAATGCACCTGGTGAATTTTGAATGCTGGCCACAGTGAGAACAGGATGCTGGACCAGATCAGAGGTTGGCAACCTAAGGCTCATGGGCCGGAAGCTGAACCGAGCCGCCCGCTCGGCGAGTCCCTGCGTGGTGTCCTAAACCGGCACAGCGCGGCACAGGGACTCTCTTCTGTGGCTCCAGAAATCGCTTCTGCACATGCCCAGATGCTGAAAATCGCTTCTGTGCAGGCACAATTTTCGGCGTCTGGACATGCGCAGAAGCGATTTCTGGCACCGCGGACATGCATGGATGCGATTTCCGGTATCACGCTGCGCCGGCCCGGCCCACGGAGGATCTCTGCAGGAGTGAACCCCTGAACTATATGATCCATTGGCCTGGTCCAGCAGCCTCTTACCATATTCTTATGATTCATTGTTGAACACAGTGGCTACGAATTCAGAAGCCGCTGGTTTCAGTCTTGTCCTTTTCATGAACCTTCCTGGTTTGTGTTGGGCAAACCACTCTCTTCCGCATCCTTGGTTCCCTCCATGTCCCCATTTGCACTTTATTGATTGATTACATTTTTATACTACCTTTCTTCCAAGTAGCTCAAGGCAGTGCACATGGTTCTCGTCCCCCCCATTTAATCCTCACAACAACCCTGTGAGGTGGGTTAGTCTGAGGGGCGACAACTGGTCCAGGGTCACCCAACTAGCTTCATGGCTGAGTGGGGATTTGAACCCTGGTCTCCCAGAGTCCACCAACCCAGTTGTGTGTCAGGAGACGATACCAAACGTGGCAGGAAGGTTCAGGGACAATATTACGTTTTGGAAATGCTTTGTGTTCTTACGTAGCTGCAATATTTTATACTTTCTGGATGTCTCATGGGCGTATTATAAAGCAGGTATATTCTGTGTTATAAATCAGGCCTGAGTTGCAGAGCTTTTTTTAGAGGGGTGGGGAGATCGCTCAGCATCACGCGATCGATCAGGATCGACCAGGAACACCCCGCAATCAACCAGTAGATCGTAATTGACCTGTTGGACATGCATGTTATAAATCAAGCTCTGTTTTCTTCTTCTTGTTTTCCAATGTCTTTTTTTTTTTTTAATGAATAACTAAATTCAGTGTGGCATTTGCAAATTTCTATTCTGGAAGTGTGGCCCAGAGGAAAAAAGGTTGAGAACCACTGCTGACTCTCCTAGATAACACCTGTTGGTGATAGGTGTGCAGAGCAGCTGGTGCTATCCTGCATCCCAGACAGTGAAAACAACTTCGTGTCCTTCAGGGTGAAGGATGCTATGTAAGGGCAAACGAGTGGGGACTTATTAAGAAAATCCTGTGTGCAGAGGTAAAGCCCCGGGCTGGCTGAAAACTTGCTGATGCGAGATGCTGCTAACTAACCATGTCTGTCTACTGCAGTTGGGAAGCCGAGTCGTAACGGGGCTCTTTTGGTGTCAGCTTGTAGTATATTCATAGCCTGGCAGGGGCAAGCGAATGTCAATTTGCCAGAGACGGTTAGCTCCCTAGGGGGGTCATAAATAAATTCCAGGAGGAGTGTGATGAGCCCCAGAGTTGCAGGCGGGGGTGAAAGTGGATGGAATTTCAGCATGGGAAAATTGTAAGCTAATTCATGTACGGGGGAAAGGTGTGTGGGGGGGTGGGATTTCCTGCTGATGACAGGCCGATAGTCTTTGAATGCTAGCGCTTGCTATTGGATGTTCTGCCACCAGCAGCATGCCTCTGAATGCTGTTTGCTGGGAATGCTTGGACTACTTCAGTGTGCTCTACGTGGGGCTACCTTTGAAGGTGACCCGGAAACTACAACTAATCCAGAATGCGGCAGCTAGACTGGTGACTGGGAGCAGCCGCTGGGACCACATAACACCGGTCTGGAAAGACCTACATTGGCTCCCAGTCCATTTCCGAGGTCAATTCAAAGTGTTGGTGGTGACCTTGAAAGCCCTAAACGGCCTCGGTCCTGTATACCTGAAGGAGCCCCCATCGTTCTGCCCGGACACTGAGGTCCAGCTCCAAGGGCCTTCTGGCGGTTCCCTCACTGCGAGAAGCCAAGTTACAGGGAACCAGGCAAAGGGCCTTCTCTGCATGGGACTATCAAGAGTCTCCTCCAGCATCATAATTCAAAAGTATCAATTCTTCAGTGATCAGCCTTCTTTATGGTCCAGTTCCTTCCAACTCTACAGTTCTATAAATTCTGTGTGCTATGTGCAAACCAGGCCATTGCCTGCATAACTTCAGGTCTGTCGTTTTATCCTTAGGGATGAGAAACCTGCTATTTAAAAAGCTGAGATCCTCAAGGTATTGAATTCTGCACTTACCCATCTCTGCGCTTTCTCAGTACATTTGTTCGATTGCGAAGACAAGAGTCCTCCCGTCTATAAGGAATGTAGCGACGTATTTGGGTCTGTCTCCTCCTTAGCCATTCTCTTCTCCTGTTCACCTCGGCGCTGTGTAAATCAGCACATCTTGAGTCATGGTTTTGAAAATGGGACAGAAACTGGCTGCCAGCTATTGAACAGCTGGGCCTTGCTTAATAAGCCTAAATTGGAAGGATGATGCATCTGCCTCCAACACAGAATTGCACGCTTTTAACATCTTCAGAAATGTCTGTAAAGAACGCAGAGCCTGAGTGGAAGGACTTTTTTTAATTAAAAAGAAAACGGCTCTATTTTTGAGGTTGCAGGGACACCGTGAGCACTGTGTAAAAATGCCAACATATTGATTTCCTCTGTGTGTGTGTGTGTGTGTGTGTGTGTGTTACTTGCCTGGTGTCCCAGATCTTGAAGCATCTGCAATTGGTTTATCTGTGTTCAAGACAAGCTGAACACCCCTTTAAAAACGATCCTGTATTCTGTCGGTATCTCACGCAAAGTACATGTGCACAGCCACAGGATGGAATTCTAAATCTCACTTTTGGGGCTGTGTAATGGATTTCTTTTGAGTTGAGACACAAGGACATGGCTATATCATCCAGCAACTTGTTTCTCCACCGTCTGTGGCCAACTGGATGCTGTTAGGAAGTCCACACAAACGTGTTGCATGAAGGCAACAGACAAGCAACTGATTTTCAGAGGTACGCATCCTCTGAATGTGGGGTCTCCATAGTCACTTTCATGGCTAATATCCATGGATTAGGCCTAGCCCCCATGAATTTGACAGTTCTTAGAAGACCAAAAAGACTGGAATTGCCATCTCACTGTTTGATTGCTAGGCAGGGTTGAGTTTTGGGAATCGCTGCTCATTTTCAAGCTCTCTGTCTTTTGGTGGGTTAACTTCCATGCCAGAGCCGCAAGTGAATAGGGTGCAAAGCTGTGGTAGGAGCTCTACCTTGGAGGCTGAGCTGATGTTTTGTGTTTCTTATATAGTGATTTTATGTTGTGAATCACCCTGAGATTGGTGGGCGTAGGGCAGTATGTTGTTGTTGTTTAGTCATTTAGTCGTGTCCGCCTCTTCGTGACCCCCTGGACCAGAGCACGCCAGGCACTCCTGTCTTCCACTGCCTCCCGCAGTTTGGTCAAACTCATGCTGGTAGCTTCGAAAACACTGTCCCACCATCTCGTCCTCTGTCGTCCCCTTCTCCTTGTGCCCTCCATCTTTCCCAACATCAGGGTCTTATCCAGGGAGTCTTCTCTTCTCAGGAGGTGGCCAAAGTCTTGGAGCCTCAGCTTCAGGATCTGTCCTTCCAGTGAGCACTCAGGGCTGATTTCCTTAAGAATGGAGAGGTTGGATCTTCTTGCAGTCCATGGGACTCTCAAGAGTCTCCTCCAGCACCAGAGTTCAAAAGCATCAATTCTTCAGCGATCAGCCTTCTTTATGGTCCAGCTCTCACTTCCATACATCACTACTGGGAAAACCATGGCTTTAACTATACCTGCCTTTGTTGGCAATGGCAGTATACAGATTTAATAATAATAATAATAATAATAATAATAATGCTTTGCCCAATTCTATCCCTGGTATCTCCCATTGAAAGGATCATGTAGTCGTTGTTGGAGAAAGAAAAGACACGTCTGAGCCCCTGGAGCAGTGTCAGAAACTGAGATATGAAAGCTAGGAGCTAAATGGCACCTTAAAACTAGGTTATGGGCGCAACAACGGAATGCTTAGGCACGCTTTTTTAATAACAGGAATACAAAGCTGAAAATGAATAAACTGCAGCTGAAATTTTATGTTCATTTTTCACAAGGTCTACTCCTTCCCCTGCACCCCCCTAATAGTCTCAAAAGAGGGTCTCTTCTCCGGTCTTCAGAGAGTGGCTGGAAATGGGGTGCCAGAAAGTGGTCCTCAAATACAGAACTTAAAGAAGCGCAAATATCTAAAGTTGTGCGACTGTTTCCCCAGAGGAAGCCTGGAGGCAAGACCTGTTCTAAGTGCCCTGCAGCTTTACAGAGTAAGTGTCTTTAAAAAGCAGGATCTGACCCCCCCCCCACCAGAGGCGGAGCAAACTGATTGGGCCCCTGGGGTGGCATACGTGCCCTGCGCCCAGGGGACAGGGGACAGGATGTTCTGCGGGGCCTCCGAGGAGTCTGCCTGCCTCCTCCCACTCAGCCGTCCTGCAGCTGGGGTGGGGCAGGGGGTGGACCATTAGGGCAGTGCAGAGCCTGCGTGCTCCCAAGCCACCGCATCTCTCCCAGGTGAGACACATGGCTCAGGGACCCTGCAGGCCCCGTGGTGAGTGCCGCCTGGCATTTTTTTTTTTAAATGATATTTATTAAATATTAAAGTTTCAAAAGAAGCATACATAAATAAGAAAAAGGAAAAATAGAAAAAAAATACAAAATACAAAAAATACAAATTACAAAAAAAGAACAATTAAAAACAATTCCATCTTTTCATCACTTCTCTTTCATTTACTTGTTTCCCGGACCTCCTCATACCTCCCTTTTTTGTATTCCAGTTCAATTTATTAGTTCAGCAATTCCTTTCCCTCCTTTTTAATCCTGATCTTTAATCTTAATATATATATAGCATTAGGTTTTTATGTATTTAAAATCCAATTTTTCCATATTCTTTTATACCATTACAGCTAGAAACCACTTAACTTCAATCCAACATCATTCTAACATTCATTAATTTTGCAATATTTCTGTAAATAGTCTTTAAATTTCTTCCAGTCTTCTTCCACCAACTCTTCTCCCTGGTCTCGGATTCTGCCAGTCATTTCTGCCAATTCCATATAGTCCATCATTTTCATCTGCCATTCCTCCAGTGTGGGTAAGTCTTGTGTCTTCCAATGCTTTGCAATAAGTATTCTTGCTGCTGTTGTAGCATACATAAAGAAAGTTCGCCGCCCGGCATTTTGTCACCCCCCCCCAGTGGTGACACCTGGGGCAGCTCGCCCCCACCACACCCCCTTCATTCACCACTGCCCCCACCCTCTTGCGAAATGCTATGAAAATTCTCAGTGGTTTGCTCCCAAAACGATTACAAAATTCAACTTGAATTTTTGCTTTAAGTGAATTTTCACTCAACCATATACGAAGAAATCAAAAAGATGTTTAAAATATCTTTTAGTTAAAAAACACACAGAGGCATTCCTTTTAGGTATACAGTGGTACCTCGGTTACAGACGCTTCAGGTTATAGACGCTTCAGGTTACAGACTCCGCTAACCCAGAAATATTACCTCGGGTTAAGAACTTTGCCTCAGGATGAGAACAGAAATCGTGCTCCAGCGGTTCGGCGGCAGCAGGAGGCCCCATTAGCTAAAGCGGTGCTTCAGGTTAAGAACAGTTTCAGGTTAAGAATGGACCTCCGGAATGAATTAAGTACTTAACCCGAGGTACCACTATAATCACAAATGACATTCCTGACAATCAAAAGAAAGTATTCCTCTTTACGACAACAGCTGCCAGGATGCTTATAGCAAAAAACTGGAAAGGGGGGAAAAATCCCATCAATGAAAGAATGGCAAATTAAATTTTGTGAATATATACATCTGGCAAGATTCACAGCATTCTTAAGGGGACAATCGGACCAAAAATTAGTAAAAGAATGGGATTGTGTTAAAGAATATATGAAAAAACATTGTTCTGGAGTAAGTATATCAGTATGTAACGAATGAAGCTTTGCAGGGTTAAAGAAAGTGAAAAATGGTGCAAAAAATATAAAGATAGAGGTAATTTACATTAGACACAACAATTTAGAAAGATTAAAAATTTTGAGGTCTCAGAACAAAAGAAGGAAGTCAATATGTGTATATGTATGTAATGATTAGTATGATGTGGTTTTCTTTGTAGATGTGTGTTCTTTTTTGTGTGTTTTTTTCTTGTTTGTACTGCTTTGTTTTGGACTTTATGTTTGTAATTTTTGCTGTAACTTTGCATTGAAAATATATATTTTTTTTAAAGTGAATTTTCACTCAACCAAAAACCCTACAATATAAACTTCAGATTCTCTCTCTCACAAATCCAGATATTCCTGTGCATATATTCCCTTGCATCAACAGAGATGGCAAGCCAGCCCTTCTCTTAAATGTTAGGTTTTCTGCATTGTCTGTACCATCTTTGTGTTTTACAAATAAGAACTATCTCCATGGTTTCTTTCTGGGATTTTGTTCCTTTTCTACCATAATGCTCTCTTGGGTACTGGAGTTCACCCCTCTTGGGTCTGAACTGCTGGGGATGTTGTCTGGATACGTTTTGTAGGCAGTGTTGATGCCGAAACTGTTTGCTTGCACTAGCAAAGCCCGAAGAACGGGAAACTCAGGAGCCCCAGAAACGTGGAACTGAACTGCTTCCCATGTTCCTTCCCAATCCTTTCTTGTCCTTGTTCTTAGATGCTTGTGTGTGTTTGTAAAAAAGGACAAAATCTGACCCTTGAGTGGCCTGAGAAGTGTTGGCAGGGGATGGATTCTTGCTGCGCAGCCTCTAGTTTTCCCAAGGAAGGTTTAAGCTTAAAAGGAAGAGCAGAAGCTGGGAAAGGGGGGACGAGTCCTTGGTGGTGGAAAACTCCCTTAAGGGAAATGAGGATTCCCATTATGGCACGTGGAATAAGTGGGATTCCTTATATAGGCAATGCACAGGGTGATGAAACTCTTCCCTTTCCCTGGCCATTTTTGCCCCACTTCTCACGAGTAGAAGCTAAACGGCCTAAATGGCCACGGCCCAGTATACCTGAAGGAACATCTCCACCCCCATTCATTCAGCCAGACGCTGAGGTCCAGCGCCGAGGGCCTTCTGGCGGTTCCCTCCTTGCGAGAAGCAAGGTTACAGGGAGCCAGGCAGAGGGCCTTCTCGGTGGTGGCACCCACACTGTGAAACGCCCTCCCATCAAATGTCAAGGAAATAAGCAACTATCTTACTTTTAAAAGACACCTGAAGGCAGCCCTGTTTAGGGAAGTTCTTAATGTTTGGTGTTTTCTGGTGTTTTTAATATTCTGTTGGGAGCCGCCCAGAGTGGCTGGGGAAACCCAGCCAGATGGGCGGGATATAAATAATAAATTATTATTCTTTTTATTACACTGGTACCTTGGGTTAAGTACTTAATTCGTTCCGGAGGTCAGATCTTAACCTGAAACTGTTCTTAACCTGAAGCACCACTTTAGCTAATGGGGCCTCCTGCTGCCGCTGCACGATTTCTTTTCTCATCCTGAAGCAAAGTTCTTTACCCGAGGTACTATTCCTGGGTTAGCGGAGTCTGTAACCTGAAGTGTATGTAACCTGATGCGTATGTAACCCAAGGTACCACTGTATTAGAGGAGTTGCATTGGTACAGGTTGGCATCAGGCTTGATGAATGACCCTTGTGTGAGATACTGTTGTACCTTGGCGCTCGAACGGACCTTGTTCCGGAAGTCCGGTCGACTTCCGAAAACATTTGAAAACCTAGGCGCAGCTTCAGATTGGCTGCAGGAGCTTCCTGCACCCAATCGGAAGCCACGTTGGACGTTTGGGTTACGAAGAACGTTCGCAAACCAGAACACTCACTTCCGGGTTTGCAAAGTTTGGGAGCCAAAATGTTTGAGTCGCAAGGCATTCGGGATCCAAGATACGACTATATTCAGGTCTTGTGCAAGAGGGAAGCTGCACCAAAGGTGGAAAGGAGAAAACCCTTCTAGTGGTCCTTGCAGGGATGGGATGCTGTAAACCTCTTTTTATTCTGCTGGGCTTTTGAGTTTGTTTTGAATTCCTCTTTTCTGCTTGATTGTGTTTTAATGGCTCTGTTTTGAATCTCCCTGTTTTTATTGCATTTGTGTTTTTATGGCTGTGAGTTGCCTAGAGGACTTTTTTAATTTTTTTGGGTGTGGCATAAATGATTTTATAAATAAAAAATGCCAAAGTGATGGATTGGAGAAGGTTCCTGCTCATTGAAGAAGGCAGCTATTGCGGTATTATATGGGGAAGGGGGAATAAAGTGAGGCAGCGACTACTCTCCAGGGCTGGCATGTTGGAAGGGCAGCTGTGGGATAATTCTGCAGACAGGCATTGGTTTGTAACCAACAACCAACTAGGCTGAAAGTGCGTAAATGGTCCATGTGAACTTCATGGCTGCATGGAACAAGCTTCCCAGCCTTGGTCTGTCACTCTGACCACTGTACCGTAGAATCATAGAACTGAAGAGTTGAAAGGGACCCTGAGGGTCATCCATTCCAACCCTCTGCAATGCAGGAATCTCAACTACAGCATCCATGACAGATGCTCCTCCAACCTCTGCTTAAAAACCTCCAGCGAAAAACCGTTCCATGGTTGAAGAGCTCTTACTCTCAGAACGTTGAAACAAAATAAAAATAACCCCTTCCAGTAGCACCTTAGAGACCAACTAAGTTTGCTATTGGTATGAGCTTTCGTGTGCATGCACACTTCTTCAGATACGCTGTCAGAACGTTTTCCCTGATGTTTAGTCAGCCGTTGGTTCGAGTCCTACCTTCCAGAGCAGGAGAAAAGAAGCTCACTCCATCTTCCTTAAGATATTTGATGGCTATCACATCTACATGGGACTCGGGTGGCGCTGTGGTCTAAACCACTGAGCCTAGGACTTGCCAATCAGAAGGTTGGCGGTTCGAATCCCCGCGACGGAGTAAGCTCCCATTGTTCGGTCCCTGCTCCTGCCAACCTAGCAGGACCCCACGTCAAAGTGCAAGTAGATAAATAGGTACCGCTCTGGCGGGAAGGTAAACGGCGTTTCTGTGCGCTGCTCTGGTTCGCCAGAAGCGGCTTAGTCATGCTGGCCACATGACCCGGAAGCTGTACGCCGGCTCCCTCGGCTAATAAAGTGAGATGAGCGACGCAACCCCAGAGTCGTCCGCGACTGGACCTAATGGTCAGGGGTCCCTTTACCTTTACCTTTATCACATCTACTCTCAGTCTCCCCTTTTCCAGGCTAAGCATATTCCGCTCCTGTACAGCACATTGGTCTCAGTATGAATATTGCTGCTGCTCTTCCTTAAATTAGGCTTCTAGCCCTTATGAAGTAATGAAACATGCAGTTTTGATTTCGGGTGCAGGACGCTGAACTAAGCCAATGGAGGACATCTTGCGTGGTGAAATAAAGGCTGTTTAGATTCTGATTGTGCAGAATATGTGGGCAGTCTTAATTCTAGGTTGCCGGCAACTTGAACAAAGAATTGAGGATTTTATCTCATTAATAGGGTGGCGGTAGAGGAGTAAATGCCACCCAGGAAAGTGATGGTTTTGTTTGCTCCTTATTGGAAAGGGAAGCAGTTCCCATCGTTTTGGATTACAAGGGCTGCTGTAAGGGTGGAAGGGAACAATTGGGTCAAGAGGCTCTTTAACAAAAAAAATATATTAGGGATTAGCAACGGATCAAGCATCTGAAACTGGGCTGAAACAGAAAGCAAGAATCCCGGCTGGCGTGCTCAAACCCGCTGTGCAACTAAGCTCTGCTTAGCAGTCCCATCAACAACTCTCTGCGCTGGGGTAAGTTGATTAGCTATCAAGGGAGGGTTTAGGCTAGTAGCAGAGGTAAAGGGACCCCTGACCATTAGGTCCAGTCGTGGCCAACTCTGGGATTGCATCACGCTTTACTGGCTGAGGGAGCCGGCATACAGCTTCCGGGTCATGTGGCCAGCATGACTAAGCCGCTTCTGGCGAACCAGAGTAGCGCACGGAAACGCCGTTTACCTTGCCGCCGGAGCGGTACCTATTGATCTACTTGCACTTTGACGTGCTTTCGAACTGCTAGGTTGGCAGGAGCAGGGACCGAACAACGGGAGCTCACTCTGTCACAGGGATTCAAACCACTGACCTTCTGATCCACGGCTGTGCTGGCTAGGGCTGATGGAAGTTGAAGTTCAAAACAGGCTGAGGGCACCAGGTTGGGAAAGGCTGGGCTTTAGATATGGCTGGGCTTCCGCAGCTCTGAACTTTGCAATCCCAACCGAATCTCCTAATCTTCCTCTCTCCCTGCCCTCAGAGCTTATCCTTCAAAAGTCTCTGCACTATCTCTTTGTCCAAATCCAGTTGGTTGCAAAGGCGGAGCGAAATAGATGATAAAACCCTGTGTTGAAACATGGATCTCTGCTCTTGTCGCTTGGCAAAACAGTTCTAGACGTGGTGAGTGAATTCTGAGGCCAGGGTATTGCCTCTGTTCTGCGGATGAGCCTTTGCGGCGCTTGATGGATTGTGTATCTGCTCAGGGAAAAAGAAAAAACGCTTTTCCTCTGCTTGCCGGGTCAACGATTTGTGCATCAAACACCCCAGCCCCTTTTTCTGACACAGTACATACAGCTGTAAATATTGTCTCTCCAAATTCCTAGCATTTTGCTGGGATTTTTGTTGTTGCAGTCAGAGCCTGTTGCCTGCCTGTTCTCTGACTCATCGTTTAATATCAGTTCTTCTGGCTTGGGGGGGCTTTGTGGGCTGGCTAAACATATGGAGACTTTTTGCCACCGTTAATCTAAAGACCCAAACTGATGCGTCCACCATCAAAGGCATGGCCTGCTTCCATGCACTTACTGGAGTAATGCTGAAATAGGATAAAAAGGGATTGGGCGTTGGCTTCTGTTGCGAAACTGTGATTAAATCAGAGATATGTCTCTAGTGTTAAGAGGAGCTTCCAGAGAAAGGAAGAAATGGATATGTGTTGTTTCTGAAATCAGAGAAGGAAATTTAGCGCTGCTTGAACCTGCTAATGGGCTTCTACAGGCATTCTATAGATCTCGTTTGGACTTCAGGCAGAGTATTTATTTGAATTTATTTCATAAAATTTACAAACTGATGGATTGTAAAGTTAATCATAATAATAATAATAATTTCTCAAAGCTGTTTACAAAGAGAATAAAACTATAAAAGTATCAGTAGAAGCAACCCTTTCAAACATTCGAAAGATAAAGCCAGCAATAAACTCAAAGCAAATCAAAGCATACACCAGCATTCTACATGTCTGGGTAGGCTTGTCTAAACAAGAACGATTTTAGCAGGCGCCGAAAAAGAGGCCAGTGAAGACCTGATGTCAATAGGCAGGGAGTTCCAGAGCTACACATTATGACTTGTCTCGGAATATAGGCTTCTTCTCAACATTTGCAAAAATTAGGTAAAGGTAAAGCGACCCCTGACCATTAGGTCCAGTCGTGGCCGACTGGGTTTGCGGAGCTCATCTCGCTTTACTGGCTGAGGGAGCCGGCGTACAGCTTCCAGGTCACGTGGCCAGCATGACTAAGCCGCTTCTGGCAAACCAGAGCAGCGCACGGAAACGCCGTTTACCTTCCCACCAGAGTGGTACCTATTTATCTACTTGCACTTTGACGTACTTTTGAACTGCTAGGTTGGCAGGAGCAGGGACCGAGCAACAGGAGCTCACCCCACCGCGGGGATTCGAACCGCCTACCTTCCGATCGACAAGCCCTAGGCTCTGTGGTTTAAACCACAGCACCACCTGCGTCCCTATTTGCAAAAATTACGAGGAAATAAATAAATTTATATGTTTAAAATCTAATTGGAGTTGCTGTGCGCACGCACAACCACACACACAAAGTGCTCTTTATAAGTAATAGAGGGTGAAGCAGCACTGAGGGATGTTCTGTAACTTCAGTGGATGAAGAAGAAGAGTTTGGATTTGATATCCCGCTTTATCACTACCCGAAGGAGTCTCAAAGCGGCTAACATTCTCCTTTCCCTTCCTCCCCCACAACAAACACTGTGAGGTGAGTGAGGCTGAGAGACTTCAGAGAAGTGTGACTGGCCCAAGGTCACCCAGCAGCTGCATATGGAGGAGCGGGGAAGCGAACCCGGTTCACCCGATTACGAGTCCACTGCTCTTAACCACTACACCACACTGGCTCTCATGAGATGGGCAGGGATGCTGAACACCCCTCTCCCCTACTGCTTACCACTTCCCTCCCCCCCTTATTTCTTAGCCTGGCTCTGGAGCAAGAAGAGGCGGTTTTCTGGGGAATGTAGGTATAGGATGGAGGGACCCTACCCACAACCTCTCACCTGCTTCTCTGTTCGAAAAAGCTGCTCTCCCCACTGTGGCACACAGCGCCATCAGTGTGCATAGTTTGCTTATCAGAGTTATTTCGAGCTAGGAGATACAGAAGGGAGGAGATTCACCAAAGGAATGTAGATTAGGTATTCATTCTTTCAACAGCTGCTAGATTGGCTGTTGTGTTAAATACTGAAAATCCAGGAGAGGCTTATCGGTGGGGGAAAATACTTGCACAATGCGTGGGAGATTTTTTTTATGTATATAATGGGAAGGAAACTTTTCATTCCATGAAGCATGAAGCTGAAGGGAGCGCATGTGAGAGGGAGCATTTTTTCATAATTCCAAACTGGGCACTTACCTTCCTGGAACAGGAGATGGTTACAATTTAGAATCATAGAATTGTAGTAGTAGTAGTAGTAGTAGTAGTAATAATAATAATAATAATAATAATAATAATAATTCATTATTTATACCCCGCCCATCTGGCTGGGCTTCCCCAGCCACTCTAGGCCACTCTGAGCAGCTTCCAAGAAAATATCAAAATACCGTAATGCATCAAACATTAAAAGCTTCCCTAAACAGGGCTGCCTCAGATGTCCTTTAAAAGACTGGTAGTTGTTCTCTTTGACGTCTGGTGGGAGGGCGTTCCACAGGGCGGGCGCCACTAACGAGAAGGCCCTCTTCCTGGTTCCACGTAACCTCACTTCTCGCAGTGAGGGAACTGCCAGAAGGCCCTTGGAGCTGGACCTCAGTGTCCGGGCTGGACGATGGGGGTGGAGACGCTCCTTCAGGTATACTGGACCGAGGCTGTTTGGGGCTTTCAAGGTCAGCACCAACACTTTGAATTGTGCTCAGAAACGTACTGGGAGCCAATGCAGGTCTTTCAAGACCGATGTTATGTGGAGTTGGAAACGACCCAGAGAGTCATCGAGTCCAATCCCCTGCAATGTAGGAATCTCAACTAAAGCATCCACATGACAGATGGCTATCCAACCTTCTCCAAAGAAGGAGAGTCCACAGTCTCCCGAGGGTGTCCATTCCATAGATGGACAGCTCTTGCGGTCAGAAAGTTCTTCCTGATGTTGAGTTGGGGGTCTCCTTTCTTGTAACTTGACTTAGTTGGTTTGAGTTCTACCTTCCAGAGCAGCAAAAAACAAGCTTGCTCCATCCTCCATGTGGCAGCCATGATGACTCTCATATCTCCTCTTCTCCAGGATAAACATATTTTAAAAGTACAGTTGTCATTGGAATGGTTTATTTTTGCCCCAAATGCTTTCTTGCCCAGAGTTTGTGGTTGCTTTGCAGTGTGGTGAGCCAGTGTGGTGTAGTGGTTAAGAGTGGTGGACTCGTAATCTGGTGAACCGGGTTCGCTTCCCCGCTCCTCCACATGCAGCTGCTGGGTGATCTTGGGCTAGTCACACTTCTCTGAAGTCTCTCAGCCTCACTCACCTCACAGAGTGTTTGTTGTGGGGGAGGAAGGGAAAGGAGAATGTTAGCCGCTTTGAGACTCCTTCGGGTAGTGATAAAGCGGGATATCAGATCCAAACTCTTCTTCTTCTTCTTTGCATCTTAAAGGTAAAGGGACCCCTGACCATTAGGTCTAGTCGTGACCGACTCTGGGGTTGCGGCACTCATCTCACTTTACTGGCCGAGGGAGCTGGCGTACAGCTTCTGGGTCATGTGGCCAGCATGACTAATCCGCTTCTGGCGAACCAGAACAGCACATGGAAACGCCGTTTACCTTCCTGCTGGAGCGGTACCTATTTATCTACTTGCACTTTGACGTGCTTTCAAACTGCTAGGTTGGCAGGAGCAGGGACCGAGCAACGGGAGCTCACCCCGTCGAGGGGATTCGAACCGCCAACCTTCTGACCAGCAAGCCCTAGGCTCTGTGGTTTAGACCACAGTGCCACCCACGTCCTGTGCGGATTTGCATCTTAAGCATGTATTAATACTTTTGGATCTTCATCCTTGTCATTGAGAAATGCACTTGGACGGTCTGTGTGGGTTTTTCTATTCCACAGGCCATTATTATCTCCACCGTGTTCTTCCATTACTGTTCAAGCAGCCCAATTGCTGACTCACTCTAGTTGCCATGTGTTTATCTGTCCATATATGTGTGTGCCTATCAACTGACTTCAGAGAATACTACTTTCTCTATCTTTCCTTCATTATCTCCCCTTTTTTAACTCTTCTTGCAGCTGATCCTGTTGATAATCCATAAAATCCTGTTCCTGGTGGGAAATCTGGACATTAAAAGTTTTTCCAGTGTTTCATCCAGTGGACAGATTGGAGGCTCTTTCCGGGTTGCAGGCTGGTCACAAAATTGAGGTAAGGTGAAATTCTGTGTCTTAAGTGAGGGTTTCTTTGCAGCATCTTTATTTAAAAATGAGATTGACTTTTTCGGCCCGCTACATCCCCATGACAAGGATTCATACACAAATAATGAAATGCATATTTGCAAAAACAAAAAAACCCCTTGATTTTATATTGATCAACAGCAAATCTACCCTGCTAAAGTATGAAGTCCTCCATTTGTCTTGTAACTGCTACTTGCTTGCATTCGCTGTTACCCAAAGGTGGACCCACTGTTTACCTTTCCTGCAACTACTGTTGCATTAAAGAGCCCACCTACGGTATATTTTGAAACATCACCATTAATAATAGTTTTTGATTTTCTTCTTTGGCGATCACTCGTAGCCGAGTAAGATTGTCTTCCATAAACACGGTTTTAACAATGAGTCTGTAAGTGACTGTGGAGGCAAATTCTGGATCCACTTGTCCTTCCATAGTGGGGACATTGGTATCCGGGCGGGAGTTGATCATGGTGTGGATTTGCCAAGCATGCCTTCCTCTTAGCACGTTTCTCCCTTGCGTCCAGAGTTAGAATGTCTTCAAAGCCCATGACACCTTTGGTAAAGGCTGTTCTCCAACTGGAGCACTCGTAGGCCAGTGTTTCCCAACTGTTAGTGTTTATACAGTGGTACCTTGCAAGACGAACGCCTCGCAAGACGATAAACTCGCAAGACGAAAGAGTTTTTCGTTTTTTGAGTTGCTTCTCTAGACGAATTTCCCTATGGGCTTGCTTTGCAAGACGAAAACGTCTTGCAAGTTTGTTTCCTTTTTCTTAAAACCATTAATACCCAGGGTGCATTGCCTCGCAAGACGAAAAATTCGCAAGATGAAAAAACTCGCAGAACGAATTAATTTTGTCTTGCGAGGCACCACTGTACTACATTTTTTAAGATTTGCCTTGAGACTGTCTTTAAACCTCTTTTGTTGATCACCAGCTTTACGCTTTCCATTTTTAAGTTTGGAATAGCTTTGGAAGACGATAATCAGGTATCCAAACAACATGTCCAGTCCATAGGTGAACTAATACCAGTGTATCGAAAATAGCAAAGATCACAAGTGTTGAAGCAATGATTCTTCAACATCAACTTGGTTGGACTGGGCATGTTGTCTTTTTTTTTTATTTAGACCCTCTTAGACAACTGATTGGAAAGGTTAATATATTAGCTTAATATCCCACCTTGTTTGCATGCCGATACCCATTGCTTCGCAGTTGGCACGCAGGCAGGTGAAAGCAGTGTTTGAAATTCCCCGGATGCTAGGGGTGTTTTGCTACTGGTGCGGGTCCAGTACTGGAGATTTCTGGGTGCCAGATTGCAAACTGACATCTCCATCGAGCCAGCTGACTTGTGCATAGCAAAAGACATGCGAAAGTCCATAGTTAATACCGTTTCCACTGGGTGTGATTCTCGCTTCTTGCCTAGTGGGACAAGTGAATTGTTTAAGGTGACCCAGAAACTACAACTAATACAGAATGCGGCAGCTAGACTGGTGACTGGGAATGGCTGCCAAGACCATATAACACCGGTCTTGAAAGACCTACACTGGCTCCCAGTACATTTCCAAGCACAATTCAAAGTGATGGTGCTGACCTTGAAAGCCCTAAGTGGCCTTGGTCCAGGATACCTGAAGGAGCGTCTCCACCCCCATCGTTCAGCCCAGACACTGAGGTCCAGCTCTGAGGGCCTTCTGGCGGTTCCCTCACTGTGAGAAGCCAAGTTACAGGGAACCAGGCAGAGGACCTTCTCGGTGGTGGCGCCCGCCCTGTGGAACGCCCTCCCACCAGATGTCAAAGAGATAAACAACTACCAGACTTTTAGAAGACATCTGAAGGCAGCCCTCTTTAGGGAAGCTTTTAATGTTTAATAGACTATTGTATTTTAATATTCTGTTGGAAGCCACCCAGAGTGACTGGGGAAACCCAGCGAGATGGGCGGGGTATAAATGATACATTATTATTGTTGTTGTAAGAATGAGATACAGCCAAGCAATGTAGCTGAAATCATAGAATCATAAAATTGTAGTGTTGGAAGGGACCCTGATGAACAGGCATTCCGTTGCGGTGGCCGCAACCCACGTCTAAGGCGCCATTTGGCACCTAGCTTATATATCTGAGTTTCTAACACAGGTGGAAAGCCATGGTTAGCAACTGGCTTGGCTTGTGGGGAGGTACATGCTGCTCATCATATCATGGCTCTTTATTTGTAGGAAATTTGATTATAGAGAATGGGAAGGCAAGTGAGTGTTGACGATGGGAAAGAGGGAGTCTTCAAGGTACTTGGGAAGCCATTTGGGAATGTCCCAAATGATGCAGAGATGTTCAAAGGTGAAAATTTAAGCAGCCAGCAGAGGGACAGGAGGACTTGGGAAGCAGCAGCCAGGCTTTCTAATCATTTTGATGCAGACGTCATAATGATTCCTGCTAATGCTATTATACTAAATTTTTTGGGACTTAACTGTGCCAGGATAACCTATAAAACTTTAGGGGCGACATGGGGCTCTTCTCTGCTAAGTTTTAAGCTCCTGCTTGTCTGTTTTGTTCATATTTTTTTGTTTTGTTTTTCATGGGGCTAAGATGGTTGGACGGCACCTTGTACGCCTCCTTCCGGCGACTCCTGCAGCCAAGTTGGCGTTAAACTTATTGCTCTGCTTTCCTTTGGACCCACGTGTACCTCCATAGACTTGTGCCCTGGGGAGGCCACTTTGGTGCTTTCTAGCCTGCTTCTGAGCTGGTGCCACCAAGTTAAATGTCATCTGCAGATGTTTTGTTGTTAGCTGTTTTGGAAAGGAAATGGTTTCCTTCTTTGTGTTGTTATAAAAAGGGGTTGATTTCTTTTTTTGATGGAATTGCAAACTTGGTGGATTAGTGGAATGCTGTGGACATAGTGTATCTTGATTTCAGTAAGGCTTTGGACAAAGTCCCTCATGATATTCTTGCGAGGAAGCTGGTAAAATGTGGGTTGAACGAGGTAACAGTTAGGTGGATTTGTAGCTGGTTGACTTACCAAGCCCAAAGATCTAGTTACAGGTAGGTAGCTGTGTTGGTCTGCCGTAGTTGAAACAAACAAACAAACAAAAATTCCTTCCAACTAAGTTTGTTATTGGTATGAGTTTTCGTGTGCTTTTGTTATCTGAAGAAGTGTGCATGCACACAAAAGCTCATACCAATAACAAACTTAGTTGGTCTCTAAGGTGCTACTCCCGTATAGTTAAAGCTATGATTTTCCCAGTAGTGATGTATGAAAGGGAGAGCTGGACCATAAAGAAGGCTGATCACCAAAGAATAGATGCTTTTGAATTCTGGTGCTAGAGGAGACTCTTGAGAGTCCCATGGACTGCAAGAAGATCACACTGATCCATTCTGAAGGAAATCAGCCCTGAGTGCTCACTGGAAGGACAGATCCTGAAGCTGATACTCCAAGACTTTGGCCACCTCATGAGAAGAGAAGACTCCCTGGAAAAGACCCTGATGTTGGGAAAGATGGAGGGCACAAGGAGAAGGGGACAACAGAGGACGAGATGGTTGGACAGTGTTCCTGAAGCGACTAACATGAGTTTGACCAAACTGTGGGAAGCAGTGGAAGACAGGAGTGCCTGGCGTGCTCTGGTCCAGGGGGTCACGAAGAGTCGGACACGACTAAACAACAACAACAAGGTGCTACTGGAAGGAATTTTTTAAATATTTTGTTAGAACCCAAAGAGTACTCATTAATGGTTCCTCGTCATCCTGGAAAAAAGTGACAAGTGGGGTGCCACAGGGTTCTGTCCTGGGCCCGTTGTTGTTCAGCGTCTTTATAAATGACTTGAAGGAAGGAATTGAGGGGATGCTCATCCAATTTGCAGATGACACCAAACTGGGAGGAGTAGCTAATGCCGCAGAAGGCAGAATCAGAAGTCAAAATAACCTTAACGAATTGGAGAACTGGGCACAAGCAAACAAAATGAATTTCAATAGAGACAAATGTCAGACTCTGCACTTAGGCAGGAAGAATCAGATGCACAAATATAGGATGGGGAACACCTGGCTTACTAGCAGTACATGTGAAAAGGATCTAGGGGTCTTGGTGGACCACAAGCTGAACATGAGTCAACAGTGTGATGCAGCAGCAAAAAAGACTGATGCTATTCTAGACTGCATCAACAGAAGTCTAGTGTCCAGATCAAGGGAAGTAATAGTCCCACTCTATTGTGCCTTGGTCAGACCACACCTGGAATACTGTGTCCAATTATGGGCACTACAATTTAAGAAGGATGTTGACCAGCTGGAATGTGTGCAGAGGAGGGCGGACAAGATGATCAGTGGTCTGGAAACTAAGCCTTATGAGGAATGGTTGAAGGAGCTGGGGATGTTTAGCCTGGAAAAGAGGAGACTGAGAGGAGATATGAAAGCCATCTTCAAATATCTTAAGGGCTGTCACATGGGGGGAGGGAACATGCTTGTTTTCTCCTGCTCTGGAAGGTAGGACTCGAACCGATGGTTTCAAGTTATTTCATTGTTTGTTGACATTGCAACAGTGATGATCCAAGATAGACTTTTCGGGAATCTGTTTTTTAAAATATTTCACACCCAATTTTGCAGTGCTAATTTTAGAAAAGGGTCAACATGGAAAGGAACAGTGATATGTGAAAGACCTGTTGATCATCTTCTGTTCAGCCTCCCTCTTCTATCCATTCTGCACTTTTGAGAACTAATATACTAAGCAGGGGTCAGCAAACTTTTCTAGCAGGGGGCCGGTCCACTGTCCCTCAGACCTTGTGGGGGGCCGGACTATATTTTGAAGAAAAAAATGAACAAACTCTTATGCCCCACAAATAACCCAGAGATGCATTTTAAATAAAAGCACACATTCTACTCAAGTAAAAACACACTGATTCCCGGACCGTCCGCGGGCTGGATTGAGAAGGCGATTGGTCCGGATCCGGCCCCCGGGCCTTAGTTTGCCTACCCATGTACTAAGGTATGTAGAGCTCTTTGTGTACTTCTCATACCAGCTCCCCCCCCCCAAAAAAAAAGTAAATAAATGTTTAAAGTCCTCATGGCCGCGGGTATAAGGTTGACAATTACATAGGCTCCCCAGGGAATTTTTTAGAAGTACTGAAGTATGTGAGAGCATGACATTTGGGGATAAGGTGGTGAGGTGTTGCTGCTCAACGTAGCTTTCCTTCTCTCGCCACAACTAGTGAAAACTGGGTGAATTTTGCAGGGTGTTTCGACTGATCGCCTTTCAGCTCTCCTATTTTGGTGATAACTTTTTCCTCCTTCTCGTGGAGAGATGGAGGCTCATTTATATTCATTGGGCTTGAAATTGCTGTGATAAATAGAGGTTACTGGCGTTCTTATGAGCTGGCCTGACTGCTTCCTGGGGTCTGCAGTAGGCTGAATTCCTATGAAACTCCTTCTGCTTTTGTTCCTTTCCTTTCTCCTGCCTGCTTCGAAGCTCATTAGAGCCCACCTACCACACCTTTGAACAGAACGCGGAGTCCGTGGGGACAGAATAGGGAACTGCACCCTGGAGGGCCCAGTGACTTTGGACAATAACCTCGACTTCCCACGGCTGTTTCCCATTGTTTGAAGTAATTTTTGATTGAACAGGAGGAATAACAGTCAAGTGGTGCGTGGTGGGTACCCCCCCGAAACCTTTTGCCATTGCTTGTTCCATTTTGATGGGAATGCCAATTTAGATTGGGGGATAGCAGTGTCACCCACCACCCATTTTCCACATCTTCCTTGGCTCCAGACGTAATGGCCAGTTGGAAGACAAGCAAGGGGCTATTCTGGAAGTTGCAGCTACACCTGAACTGCCTTCCTGATTGGGAGACCGCTGTAAGCGGATGGAAACATTAGCAGGATTTTAATAACACTTGTAATGTAACAATTACAAAAATATGTGCTATGAAACAACATGCATTGGGAAATGATGGCAATGAGACCCATGGAGGAGATGGGGGAAAGTCTAGAGATTCAGAGAAAGCTCTAAATGTGGGGTGGGGTTTGGTATTATTATAATTTTATGCTTGTAAAATATGGTTACCAGATTTATTTCAATGAATCTGGGGACACTTTTTTTTAAGCTGAGTAGCAACAGGGAGTCAGTGGTGGGGATGGTGAGGCAAAAGACCCTGGGCCCAAGCACGCATGCATATTGTATAAAGGTGCAAAGCCCTTCTTTTGCACCCTGTGAAACATAAATGCACAGAGGTTTTTAAAAACAGCAATGGTGACTCCCCCAATCTCCTTCCCCCTTCCCCCTTTGTTTTGACTGATTGGAGGAGGCTTGGAAGTCGCGGGTGGGCAGCTGTTGCCCAGTTTTTTAAAAACTCTGCACATTTATGTTTCACAGGGTGTGAAAGATGGGCTTTGCACCTTGCCTGGCAGAGAAACTGCATGCCTTGCACCCCTCCTGGGCAGTGGCCACCCACTCGCGACACCCGAGCTTCCCCCGATCTGTCAAAACAAAGGGGGAAGGGGGCAGGAGATCTGTACCGCCAGACGTCCCCGGTTCCTCTTCGGCAGTGGCAGCAGCAGCGGGCAGCTCCTGAAGCCAGCCAGATCCAACTGCGCTACCAGGCTAGCTCCGGGCTGCTGAGACTGCCGCTGCCACGTTTCCCAGGGACAGATTTGGAAATCCGGGGACTGTCCCCAGGAACCAGGGACGTCTGGTAACCCTATTGTGAAATCAAATAAAAATTACAGTGGTACCTCAGGTTAAGAACTAAATTTGTTCCGGAGGTCTGTTCTTAACCTGAAACTGTTCTTAACCTGAAGCACCACTTTAGCTAATGGGGCCTCCTGCTGCTGCCGCGCCGCCGGAGCACAATTTCTGTTCTCATCCTGAAGCAAAGTTCTTAACCCGAGGTAATATGTAACCTGAGGTACCACTGTATTTTCAAAATTGCAAAGAAAGAAAGAAAGAAAGAAGAACTGCCTTCCTGAAAAAGCAGCCCTGTTCAGATACGCTGAACATGTCCTTTTAAAAAATAAAAATGGAGTGCTCTTCACTTCACAGGAACATGAGCTTTCTCAGAGTGCACATTTGGGGATTGACCTAGGAGGAAACAAGAATAGCCAATCTCAGTAGGGATAGTGTGTTGAAGTGGTACAGAATGCACCATGGGATCTTGGGGGGGGGGGGAGTAACACGAGAAGGAGAGGATGTGTAGCTGGGGTCTTTTACCGTTGGCCTGAGGGTTTGATGGGAAAGGCATGGATTCTCTAATGCATGGATTTGTGGGGTGTGGGAGAGTGTTGAGCTTTGACATCGGATCCAGGCCAAGTAAGATGACCGGGGGAGCGGTAAGGGGCAGATTTCAATGCAGTGGAAGCAAAAGATTCTCCTGGGCAGCATGAATGTGAGGAAAGGGAAACGGCCCGGCCTCTTCTCTCTGTAATTCCCCCCCAGGGTGTCGTACAATGCACTCTCTCGCTTCCGCAGGATATCCAATTGTAGATCCCAGGGGCCTTCGTTCTGTACGGCTTGGAATGCCCTCTGTGGGGCATTCGTCCCGGGTGTCAGGCCTGCTGCCAAAACTCCCCTGGATCAGATCTGAGAATCGAGCAGAACCCCCACGAGCAAAGTAGACTCTCCTCCCTACCCCAAGCTCAGTTTATCCAAATAAATATATCAGAAGGAGCGTCTCCACCCTGGTCTACCTCCAAGGGTCTTCTGGTGGTTCCCTCCCTACAAGAAGTGAGGTGACAGGGGACCAGGCAGAAGAGGGCCTTCTCGGTGGTGGTGCCTGCCCTTTGGAACGCCCTCCCATCAGATGTCAAGAAAATAAACAACTACCTGACTTTTAGAAGACACCTGAAGGCAGCCCTGTTTAGGGAAGTTTTTAATGTTTGATGTTTTATCACGTTTCTAATATTCTGTTGTGAGCCGCCCAGAGTGGCTGGGGAAACCCAGCTAGATGGGTGGGGTATAAATAATAAATTAGCATTATCATCACCATAATCATTATTATTGTCATTATTATTATTATTATTATTATATCCAGTTGGGTTGATCGTTTGTGCTGTTGCTTGGATGTGGGCTCATTTTAGTCCCAAATAGGACTAATTTAGTCAGCTAGCCCTGGTGATCATCTAATGTTTATTGGATGGATTTTTCCCCTCAACTGATTTTTGAATTCTGAATTTATTGTTATTCACGTTTTATACTGTATTTTATGCTGTTTTTTGTTGCATCAATTAAGCGTTTTAAATTTGTTGTTAGCCGCCCCGAGCTTGGTTTTCTGAACCGGGAAGGGTGGGGTATAAATAAAAATTTATTATTATTATTTTATTATTTTGCTTCCTTCTTCTCTCGAGTCCTTGTGTAAAAGTAAGGTGACACATGGCTTTGTGTCCTTGGACTGTTCTGTTGGCCTGTGGACAGGCAAGGGTTAGGCTTGCATTGAGAGAAGAACCCTGACCTCTCTGTGTGTTGTGTTGATTAGATGTTCAGTAGAAGGACACACATTATTCCCCTCCATTAAAGCATGTGACACAAAGATCACGCCTGTCCCGTACAGGAAGATGAAAATCTAGAATCCTGGTGCTCTGTATTCTTCATGGAGTTCTTCTAGTGTGAACATCTGCTTTCCCAACAATCCTGTTGGGGTTAGATAATGCCATTAAGGAGCACTATCTGAAATTCCAGCAACAACAAACCTAGACAGCATCTTAAAAAAGCAGAGACATCACCTTGCCAACAAAGGTCCGTATAGTAAAAGCCATGGTTTTCCCAGTAGTGATGTATGGAAGTGAGAGCTGGACCATAAAGAAGGCTGATCGCCAAAGAATTGATGCTTTTGAATTCTGGTGCTGGAGGAGACTCTTGAGAGTCCCATGGACTGCAAGAAGATCAAACCTCTCCATTCTGAAGGAAATCAGCCCTGAGTGCTCACTGGAAGGACAGATCCTGAAGCTGAGGCTCCAATACTTTGGCCACCTCATGAGAAGAGAAGACTCCCTGGAAAAGACCCTGATGTTGGGAAAGATGGAGGGCACAAGGAGAAGGGGACGATAGAGGACGAGATAGTTGGACAGTGTTCTCGAAGCTACCAACGTGAGTTTGACCCAACTGCGGGAGGCAGTGGAAGACAGAAGTGCCTGGCGTGCTCTGGTTCATGGGGTCACGAAGAGTCGGATACGACTAAACGACTAAACAACAACATCTGAAATTCCACGAGTCCATGGCAGAATTGAAAGCGAAAGCTTTGGTGTCCTAGAACTAAGACAAGCTTTGCGTCCGTTGGATAGAAGGACTGGTGTAGAGCTTCTATCTGCGCCAAGGAATGGCCAGAAAGAAAGTCCTACTCCAGTATCAAGAGTTCTGATGAAGCCAAGGAGATGTGTGCCTGATCAGCTCCTGGAGGGAAAGCCTTTGCCAGCTAATCTGAGCTTTCGAAAGAAGCAGCTGCAATAGTGCATAATAAAAACACGTGTCCAAATGGTTCAGAGGGTGCCGTTTCTTGGGCCTGTGTGACAAGAGCAAGAATATGAGCTGCATATCGTTCTTCCTTGTGCCCAAATACGGCAAAACTGAGTACTGGGCTCAGTAGCTTGTTGCTGGCCCAGCTTGGCAACCAACCCCTTAAGATTCCTGCCCCTTTGGGTGAGTCCTGGCATCCCTCAGGCCTCATAAAAGCTGTCCTAGCTGGAATGAAAGAACTTGCGTATCATGAGTGGTGGAACAGTGGTGATGGTGGAATCGATGCAGCCACTGTCTAACCTCTGAGAGCCAGTGTGGTGTAGTGGTTAAGAGCAGTAAACTCGTAATCTGGGGACCCGGGTTCGCGTCTCCGCTCCTCCACATGCAGCTGCTGGGTGACCTTGGGCTAGTCACACTTCTCTGAAGTCTCTCAGCCCCACTCACCTCACAGAGTGTTTGTTGTGGGGGAGGAAGGAAAAGGAGAACGTTAGCCGCTTTGAGACTCCTACGGGTAGTGATAGAGCGGGATATCAAATCCAAACAACTCCTCCTCTTCTTCTTCTTCTTCTTCTTCTTCTTCTTCTTCTTCATCTTCTCCTCTGCTTGCTAGAGAGGCACTGCTTCCTCCCATCGTTCTCAACTTCTGCCTTGCCACTAATAATAAAAATAATAAAATTTTATTTATATCCTGCCCTCCGAAGCCGGGCTCAGAGCGGCTAACAACAATAAAAATAACACAGTTACATATAATCACAATCAATTAATTGAAATGCATTCTAAAATCATTTCATTCTAAAATCAATTCAAAATCAAATTAATGGCAACCATTGGGCCAGAGTTCTGTCAGGATTGCCGAAGGAGGGAGTCAGGCTGTGCCCTGGCCAAAGGCCTGGTGGAACAGCTCTGTCTTTCAGGCCCTGCGGAAAGATGTCAAGTCCCGCAGGGCCCTAGTCTCTTGGGACAGAGCGTTCCACCAAGTCGGGGCCACTACTGAAAAGGCCCTGGCCCTAGTTGAGGCCAGCCTAACCGCCTTGTGGCCCGGGACCTCCAAGATGTTTTTGTTTGAAGACCGTAAGGTCCTCCGTGGGAAATACCAGGAGAGGTGGTCCCGTAGGCCATATAGGGCTTTAAAGGTTAAAACCAGCACCTTAAGCCTGATCCTGTACTCCACCTGGAGCCAGTACAGATGGTATAGCACCGGGTGAATGTGATCCCACGGCGAGGACTAGTGTTGGCCTCCTTCCCAAACATGCCATTCTCTCTGCTGTTCGCCTACCCAGGTGTACGCACTGCGCCGGGAAGCCAGGAATGACTAAAACGATGCTGAAGTGTGGGCACGGCACCACGGAGACGCCAATGGCGAGAAATGTTGTCTGCCATGCATGCGCTGCGGCAGAGCCAGGAACGGTCGCGGCCCACGGCAGCTCAGCCCCCAGTCGGTTGTGATCCGCGTCATGCTGTCAGCCCAAAACTAATATCTATAGCAGCACTGACATGTATTCTTAATGCGATTCTTCCCCCTTGCTCCCATCAACTCACAGGGATGACAGGAGCTAGCTTGGGACCCGTACCGACTGCGTACGGCTGCACGGCCGGCTTCCCATGCAGAGAGCTCTTGTAATTGGAAAGGCAGGAGAGGATTGCAGCTCCCCCAGAGGTTGCGCAGTTGAAGGTCTGGGGTCTCCGCTGGGAAGGATGGCGGAAGGGAAGGAGCGATTGCACCTGCTGTGCTTGTGCGCTAGAACATGAGTGGCCAGCACACTGTTGCACTACTGTTCTGCTTGTTGGCCACTGGGGGAATGTGGGATGCTGGACTTAGGCTTTTTGCTCTCTTCTTACGTTCAGATGAAAACAGAAAAGCATCAGCTCTGATGCAAGCGCAGACCCTGTCTGGAGCTGATGTGTGGCTGTGAAATCCACGCTTCCTAAGAGAAGTGGGTTTCTCCTACCCTCTTTTGTGGAAAAGGCAGCTCAGCACTTGACGCCTCTTCCAGTGAACCTGCAGACAGCCGGGTCTCATCTTCCGGAGTGCCGTGCATAATGGAACCAGCGTTGTGGGTATTTCATCTTCTGAATTATCTCCCTAGCAGACTCCGCCGCTTCCCAGGAATAATTGTTCTTGGACTGTTGCTCAGCAAAGGGTCTCTCTCCTCTTTCCTTTCCTTTCCTTTCCCCCTTCTCCCCACCCTCACACATCTTCCTCTCCCTACCTCCTGTCATCGGGGTGGGGGTGGGTGGGCGGCCTCTCCCCTCTTTTGGAGTTGGTGTTGATGGAATTTTCCCTTGATGAAGTCGCTTCTCCTTGGGAGAAACGCTGCCAGGCTTAATGAGCCGGAATGACGAGCGGTGTCAGCTTAGATCAACATCCTGAATGCGTTGCGTTCTGCTTCCCTCTTGCCATTTGTCTTTCGCAGGCGAGCTCCCTTTTAGGCTGCTCCCGATTAGCCTGCCTTGGGATTTGCCTCTCTCTGTGAGGATGGGGCAAAGAGGAGACCTCTGGAGACAGCTAGACATGCGAATGCTCGCTGACAAAGCAGAGATGCGTTCCAGGGAAGCTTTGACATGAAATTTGCAATTTGGCCTGGATCAGCTGCGCAAGTTTGGGGAACCAGTGTCACTGTTGGTCGGCCCCTTTGAAACTTTTTTAGGCTCCTGGGGTTCAGTTCACCTGTGAGGTTCTCTGTGTGCCCCCCCCCACAGTTTTAATTAAAAATGCTAATCTGCTTCTGCCGGAGAATCTTCCATTTAAACCCCAACCTTTTTCTGTTTATCATTCCAATTGGTTTAGTGGGTAACAGGTACATTCACACTCATCCTGGTATGCCCCGCGGAGGAACTTAAGGTCCACAAATGATAACATTTTGGAGGTCCCAAGTCGCAAGGTGGTTAGATTGGTCTCAACTAGGGCCAGGGCCTTTTCAGTACTGGCCCCGACTTGGTGGAACGCTGTGTCACAAGAGACTAGGGCCAGGCGGGACTTGACATCTTTCCGCAGGGCGTGCAAGACAGAGCTGTTCCGCCTGGCCTTTGGTTTGGACTCTGTCTGACCCTTATGTTTCCCTCCCCTTATGGTCTTGATTCATCAGCTATTTTAAAATGAGCCTGCATTTTAAATTGCATTTTAACCTGTATTTTAAATTGGTTTCCCCCCCTCTTTCCCCCCCTATTATGTTTTTACTGTGATTTTATTTTATTGGTGTTAGCCGCCCTGAGCCCGGCTCTGGCCAGGGAGGGCAGGGTATAAATAAAAGTTGTTGTTGTTATTATTATTATTATTATTATTATTATCCGATTTATCGCCCAATAATCGTGTTTGATTAGGGTACCGTTTCTGTCTTTTTGACCTCTACTGTGTGTTACCTACTACCCAGGTGTAATTATTCCCCATGGTGCGTTGCAGAAGTAGCCATCTCTGTCTTGCATGGCAGGAAACCAGAGTTATTTGGGACACCGCTATGTGTTTCGCTAAGAAAACACCTTTTGACTATGTCCCCTCTGAAAGAGTAGAGGAAGCGTTTCCAAATACCAGAAAGCATTGCCAGGTGTTTTTAAAAAAATGCTATGTCCCCTTTCTCTGGATTCTTAATGCTATGGTTCAGTGGATGGAACAGTGGAATCCATCCTCTGTGTTCAACCTCCGTGGTTTTGTGATCCTTAGAAGAGCAGTTACCCTACAGTTCCCTCTCCCATTGTAAACTGATAATATTTGTGGTTCTGTGTCACGGCTGCCGTAAGAAGAGGCTGCTGAATCGGAACGAGGGCACATCCAGTCCGGCTTCCTAGTATTCCGATGTCTCTGGCATTGGAGGCAGAACATAGCCTTGTCCTCTGTGGAAAGACGCAAAAAGCATTTGACAAATTAAAAGCGATAATGAAGCATGAGAACGCATGAGCGCAACCAGAAACTGGAAATCCCACGGGGCTCTTTCAGGAGTGAACGCAGTAATTTGTAATCCAAATTGAAGTGTGCAGATGGGATTATGATGATCATGCGAGGTGATACCGCTTGACAAAGAGGAATCCGTTGCCTCCCAGTATTTATTGCCACCCATTAGCAGTCACAGTTTCTTCTGTGATTCCGCCGCCTTGTATCATTTGTGTGAAATGTTAAATCCTAGTTTTGACTAAAAAAACCCCCATCAGTTACTGAAAAACCCCCATCAGTTACTGGTTCCAAACTTGCATGTTTCTTTTGCCAGTGGCTGTTCTGCAGTTGCTGTTGCTAACTGTTAATAGCAACTACTGCAGAGATTGCCAGCACAGCACCTGTGGGCACAGTGGTGCACTTCATAGAATCGCAGAATTGTAGAACTGGAAGAGACCCTGAGGACTGCCTTCTGAGGGCCTGAAGGACCCTGCCCTTGCATTTAATTTTTATCTGTGTTGTTTTAAATGAGACCATCTTGGCTGTGAGCCCTGGAAACCCTGCACCCTGCCTTGCTGGCCCTTTCCCATCTGGCCTGGGAGAGTGGAATGTGGACTGACTCCAGCTACAAAAGTTGGGCGCAAACAGCAAAACCCAAGTGCTGGGTTGGGGTGTTGGAGACTCTCTGCTCTGGTTTCCTGTTTGACTCAGGAGGATGGCCTGCTGAAGGTCTGAAGGGCCCTGCCCTTGCCTCTCTCCACCTGGATTGAGGTGGGGCTTAGGGCGGGACTGCGGCTGCTGCTCAGCAGAGACGGCTCCTCTTTTAAATTGTTTTTAATTTCTATCTGTGTTGTTTTCAATGAGACCGTCTTGGCTGTGAGCCCTGGAAGACCTGCACCCTGCCTTGCTGGCCCTTTCCCATCTGGCCTGGGAGAGTGGAGTGTGGACTGACTCCAGCTACAAAAGCTGAGGCTGTTATACAGATTCTTGGGCTGGAGTATTGTTTACGGGGGGTGTTGAGAGAGCTTGTTGCTGTTTTTGATATTGTTGTTGTATCTTTAGTTGTAGATCTTATGATTTAGATGGAAATTGTTTCCGTTTGGTTGTGTACGTTTTGATGTGTTTTATTTGTTGTTTATGACTTCGGTTATGTTGGTAATTATGTAAATCTTGTCATGTTGTAAGCCGCCTTGAGCATAGTTTCAACTATGGAAAGGCGGCATACAAATAAAATGGTGATGATGATGAAGTTAGTCCAACCCCCTGCAATGCAGAAATATGCAGCTGTCCCGTATGGGGATCGAACCTGCAACCTTGGCATTATCAGCCCCACGCTCTGTCATGGGGGTCACCTTAGACAGGGAATGAAGGTGGTTGCTGATGAAGGAACTTGGCAGAATGTCCCTCTTTCTGGATTCTGCTTTTTGGCTTCTCAAGGCTCAGATTAATTCTTCTGTAGTGAGAGCTGGACCATAAAGAAGGCTGATCGCCGAAGAATTGATGCTTTTGAATTCTGGTGCTGGAGGAGACTCTTGAGACTCCCATGGACTGCAAGAAGATCAGACCTCTCCATTCTGAAGGAAATCAGCCCTGAGTGCTCCCTGGAAGGACAGATCCTGAAGCTGAGGCTCCAAGACTTTGGCCACCTCATGAGAAGAGAAGACTCCCTGGAAAAGACCCTGATGTTGGGAAAGATGGAGGGCACAAGGAGAAGGGGACGACAGAGGACAAGATGGTGGGGCAGTGTTCTCGAAGCTACCAGCATGAGTTTGACCCAACTGCGGGAGGCAGTAGAAGACAGGAGTGCCTGGCGTGCTCTGGTCCAGGGGGTCACGAAGAGGTGGACACGACTAAATGACTAAACAACAACAGCATCCAGCCTTTGCCAAGATCCCTTGGGAAAGTGAGACGTGTTCCCTTCCTTTCCCTATTTCTTTCGGGTGGGGAGGGGACTGATCTGGGTGAGGGGTGAGGAGAGTGACCAGAGGAAGTGGGGACCCACAGCACCCCATAGTCATTTCTTAATAATAATAATAATTTATTATCTATACCCCGCCCATCTGGCTGAGTTTCCCCAGCCACTCTGGGCGGCTACCAATCGAGTGTTAAAAACAATACAGCATTAAATATTAAAAACTTCCCTAAACAGGGCTGCCTTCAGATGTCTTTTAAAGATGAGATAGCTACTTATTTCCTTCACATCTGAAGGGAGGGCGTTCCACAGGGCGGGCGCCACTACCGAGAAGGCCCTCTGTCTTGTTCCCTGCAACCTCACTTCTTGCAATGAGGGAACCGCCAGAAGGCCCTCGATGCTGGATCTCAGTGTCCGGGCTGAATGATGGGGGTGGAGAGGCTCCTTCAGATATACTGGGCCGAGGCTGTTTAGGACTTTAAAGGTCAGCACCAACACTTTGAATTGTGCTCAGAAACGTAGTGGGAGCCAATGCAGATCTCTCAGGACCGGTGTTATGTGGTCTCTGCGGTCGCCCCCAGTCACCAGTCTGGCTGCCACATTCTGGATTAATTGCTGTTTCTGGGTCACCTTCAAAGGTAGCCCCACATAGAGCACGTTGCAGTAGTCCAGGCGGGAGATAACTAGAGCATGCACCATTCTGGAAAGCAGGAGGCTAGTGGCCACTCCAAGTTAGGGCCAGTTTGTAAACCTAAGCCAATAGTTGCTCTTAGGAGACAAGTCCTATATCTTGATCTCCAGCTGTGTGTGCAATTCCTGTTAAAAGCAGGGTATCCTACAGGTGTTGCGCCAGCTTTTCAAGCAGAACAATGGTAACCGTGGGGGAAAATATCAACTGTGCTTAAATGTGCTTTGTCAGCCACACTTAGATTAGCGTACTGGGCTGGAGCGTTTGATCTGTTTTTCTTCAGCAAGTTGCACTCCGGAGAGCATGAATCAGATAAGGAACGGCTTAAGATCCTCTAGTTTACAGCTATTGATAGCAATCCGGGAAACCGTATTGCAGCTGCAACGCTCTGATTATCTGTAATGGAAGGAGAAGGAGCCCTGCTTGCGTGGAGAGTCTTGCTTTTGCAAGGACAACCCGTGCGCTGCTTCTAATCTGTGGCCTGCCTTTCACAGAACAGCTGGGATGATGGAGCCTGCTTCTGTTCAGATGCTGGCCCACTTGGCTCTGCGTCGTATAATCTCTCTTTCCAGTTGAGCTCCCTGCTGCCCTTTTAACCGGAGAGGCTGGGATTTGAGGCTGGGGTCCTCTCCATGGGAAAACACGTACTCTGCCTCTGCAGGGGAAATGGGGGCTCTTCGAAACAGGCAAGCACCCATCAGTAGTTAAGCAGATTGGCAGAGGCTGTAGCGGAGGCAATGGCTTTGGCTTCCCCTGCGCTTGACAAAGGCATTTTATACTTCTTGCATGTGGAACAGCTCTAGCAGTGGTAGGATTGATGTGCTGGATGGTGTTCTGCTCTTCAGGAGGTGATCTCGCAGGTTCCTGCCTTTCCTTCTCCCATCGCCACTGCATCTGCAACTGTGTGAAGAAGCTGGGATAGTTCACATATGAGTCTCTTAATCTCAGAGTGTCAGGGCTGGGGGTTGGACTAGACGACTCTCTCGGTCCCTTCCAGCTCTGTGATTCTGTCTCCTAGGCTTGCAGTGGCTCCTGAGACTGAAGGTTTTTTAAAATTATTATTCAGTTTTCTTTTTCATACATCTCATATCCATAACATTTACTATGCATTCCTCCCTCCCTCCCCTCCAGGGCTTCCCCCAACTTCCGCTTCTGGTTTGTTTCTCCTTTCACCCACCTTCCTACCTCCTAAAAGAAAAAGTACTAATAACATATTTATACATGAACATCAAACCTAAAAACATAAAGATGAAAATAAGTACACCATATTATTTCTCTATCTTCTACACATTTTCTAATACTAATGATGTGAATGTTTATTTAAATCCTGCCATCAAGTCTATAGACTTTCTTTGTTGGGGCCAGTACTGAAAAGGCCCTGGCTCTGGTTGAGGCCAGCCTAACCTCCCTGTGGCCTGGGACCTCCAAGATGTTTTTGTTTGAAGACCGTAAGGTCCTCCGTGGGACATACCGGGAGAGGCAGTCCCGTAAATATGAGGGTCCTAGTCTGTGCACTATGTGTGCAACTTTGCCCTTACTTCAAGACAGCCGCTTCCAGCCTGGTGTTCTCTAGGTGTTTGGGGCTATAGCTCCTATCAGCCCCAGTTAGTACATCTGGAAAGGTTCTCTGAAGTCATATTGCAGCCAGAGAGACCAGGGAGTTTGGCATGTGATGGAATCGGGTATAGGGCACGGAGAATTGAAGGGGGCTTTCCTCTGCCCGCTAATTTAACCAGCCTCTCTGCACTTGGCTGAGCTCCGTCATGAAGGAAGGTCTCTGTGTCCCAACCTAGGCTCATTATTTCCCCCCACCGCTCCCCCTTTCATTGATGGAATGACTGCCAGGCTTGTTTCCAGCCGACACGCCGAGGCAGAACCTTTTCTTGCAGAAAGCCTCCGGTCTGTATCTAAGCAAGCATCGCTTTTTGTTTTTGTATTAAACAGGAGGCAAACCCCTGGAGATCGGCATTCCATGCTGCGAAGTTGTCGAGCGGTGAGGGGAATGTGCGTCCCTGATGACGGCAGTCTGTGGACTTGAGCCCAAGAGCAGAATGTGGAAAGGTACCGTGGGGGAGAAGTTGGGGTTTGAGGGCCCAACTAGATGGTGGCAGGGATGTCCGGGGTTCCCTGAGCATAAGAGAAGAGTCAAGGTTCATGGAGGATGATTGGCTGGAATAGGACAGTCACACCTCCTGCTTAGGCCTGGGACCCACGTACCTACGGGACCGCCTCTCCTGGTATGCCCCGCGGAGGACCTTAAGGTCCACAAATGACAACACTTTGGAGGTCCCAAGTCGCAAGGTGGTTAGATTGGTCTCAACTAGGGCCAGGGCCTTTTCAGTACTGGCCCCGACTTGGTGGAGCGCTCTGTCACAAGAGACTAGGACCCTGCGGGACTTGACATCTTTCCGCAGGGCCTGCAAGACAGAGCTGTTCCGCCTGGCCTTTGGTTTGGACTCAGCTATTTTAAAATGAAGCTGCTTTTTAAATTGCATTTTAACCTGTATTTTAAATTGGTTTTTCTTTCCTATTATGTTTTTACTGTAATTTTACTGGTGTTAGCTGCCCTGAGCCTGGCTCTGGCCGGGGAGGGTGGGGTATAAATAAAATTTAATATTATTGTTGTTGTTGTTGTTGTTGTTGTTGTTATGCACCTCCCAGCCTCTTCCACAATCTCTTTCTGTTGGTTTCATGCAGTGGCTCCCATCGCCCAGATGCATGTTTGCATAGGTGCCCATGTAGGAGTGCCCAGCACTGTAAGGGAGCATGGCAGCTGGGAGCAACAGCCACAGTGAATTGCAGGTGTTTGGGATCGGGCCATGAACTGGAATAATAATATAATAGTAATAATAAATTTTATTTATATCCCGCCCTCCCCAGCCAAAGCCGGGCTCAGGGCGGCTAACAACAATCAAATAATCAAACAATCAAATAATCCAACATTCTAAAACATTTCATTATAAAAATTAATTAAAATCAAATTAATGGCAACCGTTAAGCAAAGTTCTGTGCAGGTTGCCAGAGGAGGGAGTCAGGCTGGGCCCTGACCAAAGGCCTGGTGGAACAACTCTGTCTTGCAGGCCTTGCGGAAAGATGTCAGGTCCCGCAGGGCCCTAGTCTCTTGTGACAGAGCGTTCCACCAGGTTGGAGCCGTAGCCGAGAATGACCGCCCAAGCCTGCATTCAAAGCATATCTCGAGGCTCAATTCAGGATGTCTCTGCACTGTAGGTTCTCATGCCCTGTCTGGTTCTTCACCTTTTCCTGAAAGCCATTCTATGCAGACTCTCTCTGGTCCTGATCACTCGCTGCACGGGTAGCGGGAAGCACCCAGTGGCATGTGAAACCCCCAACCCTTCCTCTAATAATTTGAAGACCTGGCGTGTTTTCGGGAATGAGTCACTACAGATAAGAGCCTTTGTGGCTCCCTCGCTTCTTTTTGAGCTCGGGGATCTGTTTATATCTTCAGCAGACGCTTATCAAGTGTGTAGCAATTCCGTGATGTGCTTCCACATTTGAGCCAAGCCTTTTAAGTCGTGCTTATTTAATCCACAGGGTACACCCAAGCACCCTAGTAAGCCGCAGAATACCAATTTTTGTTTCGTGCCCTTGGGTCTGGGGTCTGATGGCTCACTGCCCCCTCTATCCTGGCAGCGTCAAAAGTTGCGAAAGCTCCCTTTCCAATCTAGGCCTTGCATCCTTTGCTTTCCCCTCCACAGTACATCCTTTTCTTCCTTTCTTCCTTCTTCCTTTGAAGACGCCTCGGTGCTCAGTTCCCAAGAGGTCCTGGCCCTCTCGGAGTTCAAAAGGTTTTGCTGCTTTGAGGCCTGGTTGTGGTCTTCTCAAAGCAGGTGGGGAAGGTGGTTTTGGTGGAGGAAAGAATATGCCTTGTAACGTAAAAGAGAAACGAGCCTTGGGCGATAGAGGTGAGCTGCGCACAGCACTCTGGATTTTCAAGTCCGCTGCTGCTGTGTTGGCTGGGATTTTACATGCAAGCGTTGCTGTGGGCGGTGTTAACATGGAGATAAACTCTCCTCCTTGCTTTTGAGCTGACATTGTCAGCTGGCCAGGCTCCAGCAGCTGATCTGCCCTGAAGTCAAGTGTTCCATAACACGGCTATATTGGGAATGGCGAAAGGCTTGCAACGAAAGCTCAGGGACGAAAATCTGCAGAACGGGGGGAGGCACCGCTGTTTTTGTTGCCTCGAGCTACCTCCCCTTCAATGTGTAGGCTTACATGTCCAACGATCAGCCCACAAAGTGGGATCCAACGTAAAATAAAATGATTTACTTGTCCTTGGGACTCGCTTGCTATGCCACTTAGACCTGCCACATTTTACATGTTTCTGACAACAAATCCATAAAACGTGGAGGGCAGGTGAAGAATGCTAAACATGCTACAACGATGCGCCGGGGAGCTCTGATCGCTTGCAGCAATCCACAGATACACGTCTTAACTTCACACTCTGGGTGTTTATTGTCTAGCCTTTGCAGATACAATTATTGTGTGAAACAGCTTGGACGGTCTTGGCTTGGACTTAGGCTGTCGATGACTTTACAGGTTCTGTCTGCCGAACTTTTCAGGATGAGAATTGGGTCCATTCTGAGCCTTGCTTTTGGGACTCGGCCATGCACATAGGCAGGGGCGCAAACCCTTCTTGCTAAATTTCGAGCCGATGAGATTTTCTAGGGGCTAGGAAGAGGGGAAATGTGCTTCTCTGCAATTGCAGCAGCCGTGGGCTCCACATGCCAGGCCCGGTTTTTACACTTCCAGAAGCTACTGGGGTGTCTGGATTTTTGCACTCCTGTAGGTGGGCCTGTCTCTGCAGCACCTCCTCTTCTACATGCAGTGTAGGCCTGGGAAATATCACAGGGAGCTGCCATCCTTTAGAGGTGGACTAATGAATGGCCTGTAAGGGACACTGTGGGTTAAACCACAGAGCCTAGGACTTGCTGATCAGAAGGTCGGTGGTTCAAATCCCCGTGACAGGGTGAGCTCCCGTTGCTCTGTCCCAGCTCCTGCCAACCCAGCAGTTCGAAAGCACGTCAAAGTGCAAGTAGATAAATAGGTACCACTCCGACGGGAAGGTAAACGGTGTTTCCGTGTGCTGCTCTGGTTCGCCAGAGGCGGCTTAGTCATGCTGGCCACATGACCCGGAAGCTGTACGCCGGCTCCCTCGGCCAATAAAGCGAGATGAGCGCCGCAATCCCAGAGTCGTCCACGACTGGACCTAACGGTCAGGGGTCCCTTTACCTTTACCTAATGAATGGCCTGCCTTGGTATATTCTGGATGTTGGAGGGGAGCTTCAACCTAGGCCATTCCCGTTCATCTCTTCTCAATGGATGAGCAGCTCCAGTGAAACTAATGAGAAAAGCAAGAGATTTTTTAACAATGGGAGCCATAATAGAGTCCTGTGACCCTGATTCTCATAAAAGCTTGCAGGTCAGATTTATTCGCTGAAGGGACTTCACTGCCACTTCTTGTTAAGAGAGATGGTCTCCTCGTCTCCTCTTCTCCTTCGTTTTGCCACCTAGCTGGGTCTGAGGAGGAAATCACGATTCTTTTGGTAGATTAGGAAAGGCTGGTGGTTGGGTAACCAGCTATGGTCTCAGTCCAGGCTTCTCATTCTAGCGCCCTTGTCATAGCCAGGTGATCGGAAAATGAATCCTAAAGGGAAACTGGCATTGAAAGGAGTTAGACGTGATCCAGGGCGGGGTTATCTAGCATGGGCCCTTCCTTCCGTCCCGGATCTGTTTGGAATGTGCCGTGACGGAGCGCTTCCAAACCCCTCTTTCGGATCAATGATAAAAGCCTCTCTGACAGCACTTGGCAGCAGCCTCTATACATTATTTAGCCCCTCCTCCCATGCATTAGCACATTTCATGGCTCCCCGGGGGCAGGAGCCCTAGGTGTGCTGGTTAATATCTCTCTGCTTCTCTTTTATATCTGCTAGTTTACTGCTCTTTGGGGAAATGGGGCTGCTGGCTGCCTCCCCACGCCCCTGAGTGGCTGGACCTATAGGGAGGTGGACCTCGATGGAGCTGTTGCTGTTGCAGGCAGGGCAGCTAATTGGGAGCCGGTAGGGAGCAGATGGAAGGACAGAGCTCACTGGAAGCTCACTGGAAGGACAGATCGTGAAGCTGAGGCTCCAATACTTTGGCCACCTCATGAGAAGAGAAGACGCCCTGGAAAAGACCTAGTGGTGGGCAGTTAGGATCCAACGGAGGGATGATTTTGAAGGAATCTGGGACCCAGCCCCTTTTAGCTGGAAACCAAGAGGGCAGTGCAGCTGTTTGAGCCACTGTTAGCTGCTCTGGAACTTGGTCCGAGTCCCTCATAATGACCTTTTTGTTGTGTGAGTCTGTGCCCACGGACCTCCATCCTCCTTCCCTGCCCCACCTCCTTGTCTTGTGGGCCGGGAGAGGGGGGAAGGCTAAGAAAGGAGCAGAGATGTGGGGCTTGTGTGTGTGTGTGTGTGTGTGTGTGAGAGAGAGAGAGAGAGAGAGAGAGAGAGAGAGAGAGAAAGAAAGAAAGAGAGAAGAGTAGATTATTAAGTGGACCTTGCTTTAAAAATCCGGAGAACAGCAAGGACGGAAAGTGCGAGGTGAAACTCGCTTCAGAGACAGCACCAGAGCTTTAAACCCAGCCAAGGATGGTAGTGGCAGGCCCCTTCTCCATTTCTTCCTCTCCCTTTCCCAATGTGAGGGGCTCTGTCCTCTTCTCTGAACCAGTTTTGCGGACGTGGCTGATAAAATGCCCGTCAGAGGAGAAGCCAAGCACCTGCCGAGCTGCTGAAAGGTTTGCTTCTGCGTCTGCAGTGTGTGTGAAGAGCTGGTGCCAAACCACCAATTTTCACCTTCGCTGGGTGCAAACAGCTGGTCTGGAGCAAAGAGCAAAATCCAGCGTGCTGGGTTGGGGTGTAGGAGACACTCTGATCTGGTTCTCTGTTTGACTCAGGCCTGCTGAGGGCCTGAAGGACCCTGCCCTTGCCTCTCTCCACCTGGCCTAGGGTGGGACCTGACAGGCTCTTAAGGACTGCTGCTGCTGCTCAGCAGAGAGGGCTCCTCTTTTAAATTGTTTTTAATATCTATCTTCCCTGGAAAAGACCCTGATGTTGGGAAAGATTGAGGGCACAAGGAGAAGGGGATGACAGAGGACGAGATGATGGGACAGTGTTCTCGGAGCTACCAGCATGAGTTTGACCAAACTGCGGGAGGCAGTGGAAGACAGGAGTGCCTGGCATGCTCTGGTCCACGGGGTCACGAAGAGTCGGACACGACTAAACGACTAAACAACAAAAATTTCTATCTGTGTTGTTTTTGTTGTAAATAAAACCTGCCCTTTTCCCCTTATGGGGTATCCAAGAGCCCATATAGAGTCCTTACGTAGGTTCCCTATTGGTAGGAGAAAATACCAGAGGCCAACCAGAGAATATTGAGAAGCAAGGCAGCCAGTAAGCCTGATCTTTATGGATCTGTTGCAACAGGGTCCTCACTTCCCACACGCAGGAGGGAGGAAGTGCCCAGAACAATGGCACGCAATGCCATTGATAAAGACATTTTAAATTGCTACCCTGAAGATCAAGACCACCCCCACATACATCATACATACATCACAGAAGGGGTGTAGCTCAAGACACCCCCCCCCGATACATCATACCTACATCACAGAAAAGGCGGTCTAAAACAGAAATTTGAGTGTTGTTTTTCTCCTGTCATTGTCTGGCAGGTTACTTGATTGGATACCCTGCTTACTTGATTGGATTGCCTGGGGAGCCTGGCCAGTCTTTTGTAATGATAAATACTTGGTTCCTGAGCCAGGTCACAGGATCACACCCTATTCATATCTTAAATGTACCCTTAAGACAGGATTTGTGAAGGAAAAGACAATGGGGAGGCTTTTCCATTTTCCTTTAACCTTGCAGTGAAAACATTTGGTCAGTTTGGGAATCAAAATGGTTTCAGGTCAGTCTTCCTGTGCTGATCTATGTACGTGCTTGGTTGGTACACTTACGAACATTTAACATATATCTAAGACCTCAAAATTTCTATCACATTTTCAATTAGACCGTCTTGGCTGTGAGCCCTGGGAAAACCTGCACCCTGCCTTGCTGGCCCTTTCCCATCTGGCCTGGGAGAGTGGAGTGCGGACTGACTCCAGCTACAAAAACTGAGGCTGTTGAACAGATTCTTGGGCTGTAGTATTGTTTCCGGGGGTGTTGAGAGAGCTGTTGCTGTTATTGATATTACTGTTGTATCTTTAGTTTTTGATCTTATGATTTACGTGGAAATTGTTTCCATTTGGTTGTGTACTTTTTGATGTGTTTTATTTGTTGTTTATTACTTCGGTTATGTTTGTAATTATGTAAATCTTGTTGTGTTGTAAGCCGCCTTGAGCATAGTTTCAACTATGGAAAGGCGGCATACAAATAAAATGATGATGATGATGGCTTTCCCACCCCCAGTGCATCTTTAGAACAGTGACACCACCCCCTTTCACAAAGCCAATTTCCTCTCTTTTTTGGTTTTATATTCATCTTCAAAATATTTCTTTCTTACACACTGCTTCTGGGGGGAGGAGCCATTTTGCGTTATCGGCCACCGCTTCCATCCATCAGCCACTTTTTAATGATCAGCTGCCAGAACGTAAGAAAAGCTGGCTAATTGAGGCTCACCCTGCCCCACATCATAGAATCATAGAACTTTAGAGTTGGAAGGGAGCCAATGGTCATCTAGTCCAACCCCCTGCAATGCGGGAATCTCAGCTAAAGCATCCATGGCAACAAAGCATCTTTGGCAACAAAGGACTGAGATAATAATAACTAATTATAATAATAATTGCCAGGGACGCGGGTGGCACTGTGGGTAAAAGCCTCAGCGCCTAGGGCTTGCCGATCGTCAGGTCGGCGGTTCGAATCCCCGCGGCGGGGTGCGCTCCCGTTGCTTGGTCCAAGCGCCTGCCAACCTAGCAGTTCGAAAGCACCCCCGGGTGCAAGTAGATAAATAGGGACCGCTTACTGGCGGGAAGGTAAACGATGTTCCATGTGCTGCGCTGGCTCGCCAGAACAGCTTCGTCACGCTGGCCACGTGACCCGGAAGTATCTCCGGACAGCGCTGGCCCCCAGCCTCTTAGGTGAGATGGGCGCACAACCCTAGAGTCTGTCAAGACTGGCCCGTACGGGCAGGGGTACCTTTACCTTTACCTTTTATAATAATAATTATTATTATTATTTATACTCTGCCTTCCCCAGCCAGAGCCAGGCTCAGGGTGGCTAACACCAATAAAATCACAGTAAAAACATAATAGGGGGAAAAGAGAGGGGTGGAAAAAAACAAGAAAAAAACACCAAAAACCTAATTTAAAATACAAGTTAAGTGCAATTTAAAATGCGGCCTCATTTTAAAATAGCTGATAATTCAAGACCTTGAGGGAAACATAAGGGTCAGACTGAGTCCAAACCAAAGGCCAGGCGGAACAGCTCTGTCTTGCAGGCCCTGCGGAAAGATGTCAAGTCCCGCAGGGCCCTAGTCTCTTGGGACAGAGCGTTCCACCACGTTGGGGCCAATGGCCCTAGTTGAAACCAATCTAACCTCGATAGATTTGTGTTCTCTGGGAGCCTAGTAATGTGTGTTTGTGTGTGTTAGTTTTCATTAAAACTACATGATTTTGTTAATTTTAAATTTTCTGTCCTGTGGTTCACAGCCAAAATGCAAGCGACACTGCCTTGTCGTTGACTCAGGAAAAACCTGAGGGCAAAACTCTCGGATTAGGTTTTCGTGACTTCTGCCTCAACCTCTCCACTCAAGGCGTGAGGTTTGCTGCTGTGAGATTCCACTGCCCTTAATTGTAAACCTGGTTGCAGTGAGAACCGTTCCTCGCTCTCTCTCGCCTTTAGAACTCGGAGCCGCTAAGTGAAACTGATGGTGTGAAGCTTCAGGACAGATGGAAGGAAGTTTGCTTCCATAGAACAACTGATTTAAACAAGCTGTAGCTGTTGAAATTCTCTCTTCCACAGTGCTGTTAAAAATGCGGGAGGGAGCCCTGTCTTTGGGCTCTGAGTCTCTTGGTACTTTTCTGTTGCATGTGAGAAGAACATGTGAGAAGAACCTGCTGGATCAGGCCAATGGCCCATTGTCACGGTCCAGTTCAGGGTCGATCGAAGTCCTGGCAGGGGCCGTCAGGACCGGGGGCAAGATGGTGGGGTAGGAGCAGGAAGGGGGGTCCAGAAGCCAGGAGTCAGGAAGCCAAGAGCCCGAGGGTCAGAAAGCCGGCAGTCAAGAAGCCAAGGGTCCGAGGGTCAGGAAGCAAGGAGTCACGAAGTCAGGGGTCCAAGGGTTAAGTCAGGGGTCCTAGGATCAGGAAGCAAGGAGTCACGAAATCAAGGGTCCGAGGGTCAGGAAGCAAGGAGTCACGAAGTCAGGGGTCCGAGGGTCAGGAAGCAAGGAGTCACGAAGTCAGGGGTCTGAGGGTCAGGATGCAAGGAGTCACGAAGTCAGGGGTCTGAGGGTCAGGAAGCAAGGAGTCACGAAGTCAGGGGTCTGAGGGTCAGGATGCAAGGAGTCACAAAGTCAGGGGTCCGAGGATCGAAGCAGGGAGTCAAGAAGTCAAGTGTCCGAGGGTCAAGGAGCAAGGAGTCACGAAGTCAAGGGTCCGAGGATCAGGAAGCAAGGAGTCAAGAAGCCGAGGTTCAAGGATCAGGAAGCAAGAAGCCCAAGGCGGGAAGCGTGTTGCTGTGGCAAAGAGCCAAAGGGAAATGCTGACCTTATATCCCTTCCCGGCTCTTGCCACCAGGTGCTGTGAGTTACCAATCGGCCTCACCTGTGAAGCCGCAGCTTGCCTCTTCAGAAAAAACTTAGGAAGGCCCCAGTCCTGCAGAGTCCTATTGGTCACAGGTCCTGGCTCCTGCACACACACCTGACACCCAATCTTGTCCAGCACCCTGTTCTCCCAGTGGCTGACCAGGTGCCTGTGGAAACCAGTGAGCAGAACATGAGCACAAGAGCAGTTTCCCCTGCCTTAGATCCAGCAGAATTGCTGCCTGGTTTTGCCCTTATTCGATGTGTGCATGTATATCCCTTCGACTAGCATGCTCAGCATCCTTCTGTTGTTATCACTTCAGTCTGAGAAGTTAGGATTCCATGACTGAGAAATCACTGTGATTTGGAACAGCTACGGAGGCGGCGGCAGCAGCAACAGACCAAGCTGTCCGTAGATTTAAGGTGCATGCGAAGTGACTAGGGGGAGGGGAAAGTTGGTTCTCTCCCCCTTTAAACTCCACTTTTACTAGAGTTCATAATTGGAGCCTATTGATTTTTGGTTTTCCCTGTCTGTGTTTTCCCACAACACTGCCATTGTTCAGCCGACTGCTCATTTGGAACGATTGAATTGCCTGTTGCTGGAACATTATGTGATTTAGATTGTTGCCCTGTGAAGCTTGTATAAAGTTAATAGCCTGCATTACTTCTTGCTCTCTGGAACGTAGCTTTTGACATGCGGTAGGCCCAATAGTTACGTGCAAGTTGCTGCCTTCTGCTGGACGGATGTGGATTTTACCTGTGCTTTGTAGAGATTGTTTGTCTACCTGGGGCACCTAGGTGCCCTCCATGCGGTTGGCAGGACCAAAACTCAGAATTTGGCTTGAGTGTCCAGCAAGCTTCTAGCCCTTGTGTTTGCATAAATGAGGGCTTGAAAAGATTGTTGCTTCATATGCCTCCCTGACGCATTGCTATGGCAAGTAATCCACCCGTCTCCCCAGCACAATCCTGCTTCCTGCCTTCACAGCTAATGAGGCCTAGAGTTGAATGAAGACTAATAAATGGAAACTCAGGCCACGTATAAGAGAGGGAGTGCTGTTTGTGGCGGGCTCTGGGCTCACCCGGCAGCCTATGCCTGAAGCAATTGCAGCTGGGCAGGGAGGAGCAGAGTGTGGTTTCTAAAACACACACACACAGTAGGAAGATGGAACAGATGTGGAGGCCGCAATTTGTAGGAAAAGTACATCCGTAAGGTAGAACAGGAGCAAAATGGCACCTTTCCGAGCCCACGTGAGCCTAGGTCCTGCAGAAGTCAGAAGCTTAGCCATGTTGAAATCTCTGACGGTTAAGAGCTGCATGTTGCATCAGTACCGGATCATGGAAACAGCAGTTTGGATGCATGTAGAAAGATGCAGGTAGGTAAATAGGTTACATACACTGGTAAGCGTAAAGGTAAAGGCACCTCCATGCATTAGGTCCAGATTCGCGGACAACTGGCTGGGTCATGCTGGTGCTCATCACGCTCGATAGCTGCAGACCAGCTCCTGGGCCAATGTGGCCAGAATGACTACAGCCGCTCTGAGTCGGCCACGACTAGAGCTAGTGCACAGAGATCACCGTTTACCTTCCTACCAGAGTGGTACCTAGTTATCTACTTGCACTTGACTTACTTCAAGCCTGCTGGGCTGGGCAGGAGCTGCAGAACTTGGCCAATGTTGAAGCTCCCGCGTCGTGGGGCATTTTGAACTGCCGACCTTCTGATTGGCAAGCCCTAGGCTCTGTGGTTTAGACCACAGCACCACCCGCATCCTCAATAAAGTGGTACCTCAGGTTATAAACGCTTCAGGTTACAGGCTCCGCTAACCCGGAAGTAGTAGCTCAGGTTAAGAACTTTACTTCAGGATGAGAACAGAAATTGTGCCGCGGCGGCATGAGGCCCCATTAGCTAAAGTGGTACGTCAGGTTAAGAACAGTTTCAGGTTAAGAACAGACCTTCAGAATGAATTAAGTTCTTAACCAGAGGTACCACTGTAAAAGGATCCACGAAGGGGAGGAAGGAAGTCCAGAAGATTCTTTGGAATCTTGTTTTTATGTTGTATGTTGTATGTTGGATATGTGATTGTAAAACTCTGATTTGAAAAACCAAATAAATACATTTATTTTAAAAAGAAACTTGGGTTGGGCAGGGAAACAGTAAAGGCAACAAGCAAGAGGGAACCCTGGGAAAGACTGCTTGATGGCTGGGATAAAGATTTCTGCTTCAGCTAGCAGGGTGCCAGGGAAAGCAGGAACTAAAGCAGAGTTCTCGAAAGCACTCTGGCTGCAGCAAGTTGGAGACCCAGAGGACACCCGGAGACTCAGATCCCTGAGTTTTGACTGGCAGCAAAATTGACTCAAAAAGCCATTTCAGGGAGAGCTGATTTGAGGGACTAGAACCCAAAGCAGCCCGAGGAACTCAATCTTTATATTCTTTTGATGAAAGCTTCAAAGCAATTTTCAACATTGATTGGATCAGGGAGGTATCAGCCCATTCTTAACCATAGTTACGTAGTTCCTGGCAGGTTAGGGTGGATCTCTCCACCCTGACAGGATTTCCTTCTGTTTCTTCAATTGGCATAGTCACTCCTTGGCCAGCGTGATTGGATTTTTGGACCCATTTAATGGGCCCAGAGTAATGGGCCGTTTGTCCTGCAGATGGCAGATTGGATTTGCATCGCAAAAGGCCACTCCCTACGCATATGGCTTGAGATGTCAACTCAGTTGATGGTGACCAATGTTCAGCTGCTATTCCTCATCAGACCTCAAGCCAGCTTCCTTGCAAAGTGGTCCAAACTGAAGCCTCTGAGGTCCAGAGCCAGCCTGACAACTGGGGACCTTTTGTTGTTGTTTAGTCGTTTAGTCGTGTCCGACTCTTCGTGGCCCCCTGGACCAGAGCACGCAAGGCCCTCCAGTCTTCCACTGCCTCCCGCAGTATGGTCAAACTCATGCTGATAGCTTTGAGAACACTGTCCCACCATCTCGTCCTCTGTCGTCCCCTTCTCCTTGTGCCCTCCATCTTTCCCAACATCAGGGTCTTTTCCAGGGAGTCTTCTCTTCTCATGAGGTGGCCAAAGTATTGGAGCCTCAGCTTCAGGATCTGTCCTTCCAGTGAGCACTCAGGGCTGATTTCCTTACTGGAGACCTAGTGGTGGGCAAAAGTCGGCAGATCAATGAATATCACTCTTACCTGTTGTACACTAAGCTGCGCTGCAGCCAAACAGAAGTTAGAGGTTCACACATGGATTCGCACACATACTCCTCTCTCCAAATAAGCATGTTGACATGCAGAGGGTCGGGAGGCCAGCTGGCAAGCCCAGCTCGGACGTCTCCATTCACTGGCCCGTGCTCCGACGTAGATCAGTGACCCGGACTTCAAAAGCCAGGGCACGCAATTAGCAGAGTGTACTGTGCACAGGAACGTGGGTGGCGCTGTGGGTTAAACCACAGAGCCAAGGACTTCCTGATCGGAAGTTCGGCAGTTCTAATCCCTGCAACAGGGTGAGCTCCCGTTGTTCGGTCCCAGCTCCTGCCAACCTAGCAGTTCGAAAGCACAAAGTGCAAGTAGATAAATAGGTACTGCTCCAGTGGGAAGGTAAACGGCATTTCCGTGCGCTGCTCTGGTTAGCCAGAAGCGGCTTAGTCATGCTGGCCACATGACCCGGAAACTGTACGCCGGCTCCCTCGGCCAGTAAAGCGAGATGAGCGCCGCAACCCCAGAGTCGTTCGTGACTGGACCTAATGGTCAGGGGTCCCTTTACCTTTACTGTGCACACAGAAGTAGGCGTGAGGCGTGTGGCGAAGTCATGCTACAGCTACAGATTTATTAAACATAAATCAGAACAAAGAAACATGTTGTCTCTCTCTCTCATGTCGTCTTGGAGAGAACAGCAAAAGCTATACACAAACGGAAGTTCCCAGCAAGCTGTGCTGGAATGTAAACAGACATGTGACATGCAACAATCTCATGCCTGTTCCTTAAGGTGGAATGGAAATGTCAACAGGGGGTGCTATCATGAGATCATAAGCAGAGTCCGCTGGATCAGGCCAATGG